AACAATGTATAACTAGAGCTTATTAAGGAAGGAATATAATAAGATAGTTATGTTTGTGACTTAGAACGGTATGAGCTTCAGAAGTATGAGAAGGTATTCAAACTAACTACTAGCTATGCTAGACAGTTGAATCACAAAGAGGTGTAATGCCAGTAGGGACAGGATGTTTATATAGACCTTTGTTCCAGTGTCCTTGTTGCCTGATTCTCAGCGATCATTCTGATCATGAATGATCAGACTGATCACTAACTGCATTCCTGATTCGTTCAATCCTTCTGAGCGAATCACAACCTTTCGCTTATGCAGACTGATCACCTCGATCATGAATGATCAACATGATCGCTCTCCCTTCACGTGATCACCATGTTACCTCGTAACAGTATCAATAAGCAACAAGCCCTACCTTAGTTTTGTAAAGTAAAACAAAATATATATCTTAAATATATGTTTTCTTCTATATAAATCTTACTAAGCTTCCGCCCTCCACTAAGCATAGTCTAACACTTATACGCTGCACAACAGCGATTCCTTTGGATGGCCTAACTTAGCTAGGCACCCACATGCGACACTTGAAGCTTTAATCAGGACTACTGTGACTAGGCTGGGCAACAGACTTGAATCCCAGGCAGCGAAACCTATATGATCAGTCAGGGGGAAAATCCTGAATACCTGGCTCTTTCAGTGCAGACTCGTTCTTATAAAAGGTAGAATCAGAAAGCAGACCTAGTAATAAGGAAAATAACGTAAATATAGCCATTCACTATACTGCCGGCGTTCTGAAGAAGTACCCAAGTCCTTTGTTTTCTACGAGTCCAATCAGGTCAAAAACCAAAAATGGTGCTTCTAAACAACCCAGCACTCCCGGCAAATATGCTATCGAATGGCTGATAATGAATTTCATTTGTCCAAGGTGACCTAGCTAATTCGCTCAATGTTGATCAAGTGTCTCTGCATAAATAACTAAATTTGGGGTATCACGGAAATTTCCCCTGCCCCCCACTATCAATAGTGTCTGCCCTGCTACCTACAACTTGACTTATGCACAAGACGACTGCAGGCGAAAGGACGAACGGCAGGTCGATCAATTTCGACGAGCAAGTCAATCCCTACATTCTGAAGGAAATGCTTTCTCCCTCCGTTGTGCTGTACGAGCAATGCATCCTTCATGTGCATCCCGAGAACAAGTATTAAGCAAAGCTTCAACGGAACCATGACTCGTTTGTTTGGAAATACATCCATCGGGCCCACTCCCAGAACAGTCACTTGGGAGATCTTGGGCAAAGTTAAACCCGGTTTGTTGAGATATACAACCTTCCTTACTGGAACATATGTAACTCGAAGACGCTGCTGTTGTAGGGAGTTTGGTTTCAAGACTGCTAGCGCCTATTGTCACCGTGGTCATTTTATCAATAGTGACAAGAGCAGTGCTTTTGGACCTTTGCGATCGATAGGATGTTATTGAACTCGATCGTACCATAGTTGAGAAAGTGTTCATGGTAGAGACAATCAAAGGGATTCCGGTTGATTCTGTAGGCGCGAGTGTTGCTATATCGGACGACGAACTTTCAGCCGGAGATGGCTGAGGTGTTGGAATGGGCGATTGGCCAATATACCCGGTATCTTGCTGCCTGTAAATCTTGAGAGAGTTGACTTCCCAATATGCGTTTGCAAAATCCGTAGGGTTGTTCGAAACAAACTCTTGGCATGTGGCAGCCTTTTGAGAGCATACAGGATCAGCTCTCCAAACCGAATCCTGCCCAGCCCATTGTCCGCAAAATGTCGTGTCAAAGATGATAGTTTGGTTCTTCACTGCTTCCTGGAAATTACAACCACTAAACACTGCAAGCGGCTCGCCCCAACTTGACGGAGTAGGAGCACCAGAGCTTATATCGGCTGGTACGTTGGCTCGAGCAAAATGGTATATGCTAATCGTGTCCGCTGTCCACTCCGTCGCATATACTCCACCACCAATATCATTGAAGCCATCCCCGTAGGTGGTCGTGTCATTCGTAACGATACCACAACCCACGTTAGCACCTTGACCAGGTGCCTGGACGTCGCAATTACTTGTCTTGACCGAACCTGTAAATCGTTCATTGCCAGAGCTATTGATGCTACAGCCCGGACCAGTGTGTAGAGTCATTGCATCTGCTACCTGCGAGTTTACACCTTCTAGAATGTCGATCTCACCGTTACTTGGCCACTCAGGCCCAATGGTCCAGAATGCCGGCCTGAAGTAATATTTTTAAAAAAAAAATAAGCATGGCTCTTTCAAACGTAAATAAGAAATAGGAAAATATCCGGGCTGCGTGAAATTGAAAACTCACCAGGTACCACATATACCACCAGGCATATGAGCAAGATCTAGGATAATCAAGCCTTGATTGTATGTGTTTTTAGACTCCAAACGGATGCTAGATCGGCCGCCTTCAGGGTTCATGGTCTTAAAATCAACACCGAATCTCACAGAAGTGTTATCTTGCGAAATCATGCCCGCCGAAAGGGCTGTTGTTTGATCAACGAATTTGACTGGAGAAAAATCAGGCTGCAAGAAATTCAACACATGACCTGCACTTACCGAAGCCTTGTGTCGGATCCGGTCCGGTGAAGAAATCAAACATGTCAAAGAAATTCGACGGCGTATAGGCATCTTGAATAACATACACGGCATTGCATAGTTGAATGAGGGGAAGAAGTTCGGCAAACCTTAACATCGTAAATTATGAGCGCAATGAGGCGCAAAACTGTGGATCAGCGCTAGTATGGGAAAGAGAAAACTTGATATATACGGGATCGGAGATTAAGCGTTCACAAGCTTTGCAGGGCATGGTCTGCCTACAAGTATCTTTATCTGGCGTTTTAGTAGTGCCGTGCACCTACTTTCAGAGAAGGTCCCACTGCAACATCCAGCTGTCAAAAAGGCTGCACCCTTAGTTTGCAATATGCGTTGAAAAATCATGACTTCGTACACGATAGATACGGCGGTTCAGACTCCTTGCGCTTCATCTTCTTCTGGCTAACGGACTGGTGGCTGGACGACTGGTAGACATGGTTTGTGTAGATGTGTCTCCGATCCGGATGAATCCTAGATCGCGAAGCCTTGTAGCAAATGGGCCAGTGAGATGGCAATGAAAATATTTTTATAGATTGTTTCTTGTTTCATGCTCATGAATCAGAGGAAGCCTGATGATCTGTGGCGGATACCGTCGCGGGAATCCGCATCCAAGCTTGCAGCGTGGCGCTTCAAACGAACTGGAACCGAAAAAGCCGACAGGATAAAAATGAAAAGAACAGGCTACTTGCTGCGGACAATTGGTGACTGGATGATGGCGGTGCGCTTTCTTGGATTCCAGAAGTGCGTCTACCTTTCACCGGCGCCAAGGACGTTTCATGTTTGCGTCTAGAAGGTCACCGAGAAGCTCACGAGTGCCTCTGCAGGGGGTCGATCTTCAGGTGAAGCTACGGAACATGAGATTGGCGAGTTTCGCACGGGTATCAGGCTCGCGCAACTTGCAAGCGAAGAGACATCGGAGACACGTGAGCCGTGGGTCGGCACTCAGTCTCAACGTCTCTTCTCTGCTGGCCTGCATCGGCGGGCCATGTGAAAGGACGAAGGCAAGGTCGAGCGACGGAGGACGGGTGACGATGCGGCGTGAGTTGCAAAGGACGCTTGGCACCGGAAGCGGCTCAGGTACGCAGCCGCCTGGCCTTGTGGTAACGGGACCATGCTTTGCTCACGCCCTCCGACCGCTCCGTTGGCCGTTGGCGAAGCTCGAGGTTGACGGGTGGGCAGCGTCATGGCTCAGCCACACCAGCACCCTCTGCCACCCGCCTGCCGTGTCCCACAGCTCCAAGGTCAGCCTCTTTGCTGGTGCACAAAGCAGGCAAGAAAACGGCATTCGAACAAACCTCGATCCTGAAGTTGGAAAATCCGTTCGCGTTCGCCTGCAGGCCCTCATCCGTCGCTTGAGGCCCTCTCCGTCCCTGCCTGCGCTTTTCTGCAGCTTTCCCGAACACAAAGCTTCCACCGCAGATACTCGACTCCTTACTTCCAACCTACCTCCTCCGCTCTCCGTCCTCTACCGTCATCTCAGGTTGCTTGCACCAGCGTATTTTCTGAACATGGCGTCCCTGAATACCTCCCAAAATGGGCCCTCCATCATCAAGAGTTATCAGTCAATTGTCAACTCACCGCCATCTTCCGGTCCCGCAGCAAGTTCTTCCACGTACGGTCAGTGGATCGTGCTCTCGGTGGCAGCCCCGTTGGTCAGCGCTTTCCAGCACGACGGAGGCAAAGAGAGCGTTTTGAAGGTTCAGAGCACGGGTGAGGGAGAGCTGGTCGACCTCATAGAAGAGTTCTCCGAAGGCAGAATACAATTTGCCTTTGCCAAGGTCAAAGACCCGAACACAACCCTGCCTAAAAATATTTTGATTTCGTGGTGCGGAGAAGGTGTGCCGGAAAGGACAAAGGGCTATTTCAACAGCCATCGCGCCGTTGTCTCCAAGTTGCTCCATGGTTATCATGTCGAGATTACTGCGAGATCTGATCGTGATCTTACACCGGAGTCCATCATCCAGAAAGTTCAGGATGCATCAGGCGCAAAGTACAGTGGCGGCGGATCAATCACCTCAGCCAGTGCTCCACCCCCTCCAGTTACCTCGAAGCCAGTGTTTACACCAACACGAGTAGGGGGTGGTGCTACTGCCATTAATCCACTCGCTGGGCGATCACGAGCACCTGCACCTTCTGCCCCGGTTGATGATGACGGGTGGGGCCCTGATGCACCTCCAGTGACGCGAACACAATTGGAAAAGGTTGAATCCGCGTACAAACCCACAAAAGTCAATTTAAGTCAGCTCCAGGCACAGAAGGAGCCATCTCGTTATACACCACCACAGCCAACATCAAGTAATGGTAGTGAGGTGGTGAAGGGAGGTTACCAGCCAATTGGCAAGGTTGACATCAATGAGATTAGACGCCAAGCACGAGAATCGGGCAACTTACAGGACGACAGGCCAACTGTCGTGAAAGGAGCCTATGAGCCTGTTGGAAAGGTCGACATCGCAGCAATCAGAGCAAAAGCCCAAAAGCCAAGTTCTGATGATCTGGCTTCAAAGATTTCGCCTGCTGCTACTGGAACTGATCATAACGAGAAACCCCTGAGTTTCGGGGATCGATCTGCAGTTTTCCAACAAGGCGGACGAATCCTTACAGAAATGCCGAAACCCAAGATCGCACATAAATTTAGCGGCGTCGGTGCCTTTACGGGTACAAAAGCTCCTACGCCAGGAGGATTTGAGCCAATTACAAATCCAAAGTCTGCTCCTATCGGCTCTGCGAGTAGGACTTTCGCAGACGAAGGGGGAAAGACCCCTGCTCAGATCTGGGCAGAGAAGAAAGCTCGTAAAGGTGCCGGCGTTGTCAGTCCTGCTGCTACTGGCGCTACCCCGACTTCACCCATCAGTGCTCAAAAGAGTGGCACCGGCTGGGAAAGCGGCTACACGGGCAAGAAATGGGCGCCTGTTCAGACGACACGGACTGGTCAGTCCGCAGCTAGCAACCTAAGTGACCAACGCACAGGACCGCAAGAAGAGGAAGAGGAGCCAGCCAGCGCGAGCGTAAGCTCTATTCGAGATCGCTTTGCAAGCGGCGACGCTCCGCCTCCAGTAGACATGTCCAGTCGACCGAACGTGGGAGGTGGAGTTGCTATCCCAGGTTTAGCATTGCGTCCCTCGGCTCCTTCTGTGCCTGCCGAGCAGCATGTTGTTCTGCCGCCTCCACAACAACCCAGTAGCCCTAGCCCAGAGTCTGAGGAAGATTATGTTCGTCCAAGCTCTCCTATTAGAGTGGCAATGCCTGTCAGCAGAACTAAGGAGCCAGAAATTGAATCTACTGAAGAGCCTCAACGGACAATGCGGACAGAACCACCTGCGAATCCTGTCTCTGCTACTGGCCACCAGGATCTCGAAGAAGAGATCTCACGTGTTACAGTTCAAGCCGCACCGGCATCAACGTCCAGAACTGATACAACTGCTGCGGCACCAAGATCCGGCACGTCGGGTCGCCGCGCTCTGATTCAATACGATTACGAAAAAGCAGAAGATAATGAGATCGAGCTTATCGAGGGCCAATACGTCACGAATATCGAGATGGTTGACGAAGATTGGTGGATGGGTCAGAATGAAAAGGGCGAAACGGGACTATTCCCCAGCAACTACGTTGAACTTGTTGAAGAACAGGATACTACTACATCTGCTCACGCTATTTCACATGTGGAATCCGCAGAACCTCCAGTCCCATCTCAGCCAGACACTGGAGCTGGAAGGACTGCCACTGCTCAATACGACTATGAGGCAGCAGAAGACAACGAACTGAGCTTTCCAGATGGCGCAAAGATTACCAATGTGGTATGCTCGTCCTGATAGGAACCATAAAAATGATGTCGCTAATCTTTGTTTAGGAATTTCCGGATGAGGATTGGTGGTTTGGAGAATACGGCGGCAAGAGTGGTCTTTTCCCTGCTAATTATGTTCAGCTTGACGACTAAGGATCTGATAGCATATCAACACGTTTTGGGCTATTGTCTCTTTTAGGCCCTATCAAAGAAACGGCTTGAGGGCTAGACTCGAGCTGCTATGCAAGCTTGTCAGCATCCATGAAGCAGCCATTCATTGTGGTAGAATGAAATATATCTTGCATTAAAAAAAAGTTGGCAGAAAAATGTACCAAGATCGGCAGATGTAGTGGATTCAATGACATGAATGCCTCGTCACTCGTCATTGCTGCTCTCGTTGTCGTACCACCGAGTATGTGAGGAGAAGATGAACACACCGGGCTTCCCTCCCATCCATTTAACGATGTCATCACCAGGGCCATGTCAATTATCTGGAGTTGCTTAAGGCAGGAACGGTTTCTGCAAGATGAAACAGGAGGCTGGTGGACATCAAGTTTCACACGCAGGATATCTGGTCCCAGTCGTCCGTCCAAGACTTTAGGGACTCTTTAGCAACGGAACCCACGGCCGGGATTGACATTGGTATCTCATCAGTCTGTGACGGTCAGACTCTTGTTCGGATGAAGTCGTTTTGATGAATTCCGCCACTGCGCTCCATGGCAACCAAAGCAGTATCGCTGACTGTGTGTCTGAGATTCGCCAGCCGGTGCGTGACACGCTTGCCGTTACGGACGCTTGTTTGCTCTTGACATGTCCATGAGAGGTCGCGTCGTCAATGTGTCTCCCGTACCTAGAAAATCGACCAAATTCTCCCTCTCCATTGCACATCGCGGCGAGAGGCTACCACCGTGGCTGACGGCCACAAACACTATGCAGGACTGTCAGCAAGCTGGTGATAACGGGAGGCTGGGTTTCGTAGCGCCGCGTACGCGATGAGCAAAGCCGGGCTTGCTGCCGCGACCCGAGTTGATTGCAGAAAAAACGAACGAGAAAAGGTAGCGGGATTTTTTGGTCAACTGTTGTCACTCTGGCTATGCTAAAATAAGTCTAAACACACCGATCGATCGCATGAGACTCCCACTCACGCGTTGGGGCACAAAGGACTTGACAAGTGGAAAGGGCATCAAGACAAGTGACGAGGGGAGCCGAAATCCCCGTCCTGTTGGCGACCGGAGACGCTGGTCAACTCACGGGGTCTGTCCTGGAGCGATGAGAGAGCCGAGGAGCCGGAAGGAAGACCGAAATACATGATCCATGATTCGCATGGCTGCTCTACCTTTACATCCTCCGATACGCTGTCCCAGCCGCTGCCTTCTCAGCTATCAAGCCAGAAATCGCTGGCATGGAACATGTGAGCGAATCGCTCGGATCCTGCAATGATTTTCCGTAGCAAGGTGGCCAGCCGACTGCTTCGAGACCTGCTCTGTCGGATGGCGCGAAGAGATGATGACGTGAAATTGGGTCGCCGCACATAGAGGAGTTCGCTATCATTACGTAGTGAGGGCAAATCATATGTCGACGTTGATATTAAAAAGCGAGAGGATGCAGTCAGCATCAGTGCCGCAGACGAGAGGTGAAGTAAACGTAATCAAAGGCACGGTGGAATGCGCTTCATCTAACTCAGGTCAAGGCATATTGTACCCACAAATATTTCCATCCCATGTACTTGTATGAAGAAGTCCTGAATGAGCACGTAGTGTTTGATATGCTGCACAGGCGAACGCGGTGTGAACGGACATCCTGATGTGAGACATTTAGCATTCTTTTGGCTATGTAGCGAGGCCGGTAGAGTGGGCAACAGAGGAGGAAAAAACATAAATAAAGTAAAAAAAAAAAAAAAAAAAAGAAGGCTTCTGCGTCCGTTAGGAAGAAGTAAAGGTAAACTAATATTTTCTTCACCGCTTGCGCAGCAGAATGTGTCGCTAAGCCATGAGAGGCAAAATATCTGTATGAGAATACCTAATGTACGCTGCGATCCAAGGTGGCAATGCCTTTTCCAGGTGCCCGACAACCCACGTAATGAACGCGACCATCGGGAATGCCGCCCGACGGCACATCAACTTGACAGCGTGGTTGCTGAATGAGGGTGATTAATGGAGGCCAGCGAGGAGGACTGTAGCGGCGGCGCTACCTCAGCCAGTTGCTGCAGCTCAAGCACAAGATTTTCTCCTCCCACAGGCAGTCGGCCTTGTCATTCGACACAAACATACCCTCCTCGTTCTGGATCTCGACCGTCCATGGCTTGCCTTTGGGTGGCGACAGTTTGAATTTGTTTGGCAGAATGTCGGGAATCGTCCCGTCCTCACCGGCGACAATCAGTCTCTTCCAACTTTTGTCCGCTACACCGTGCCTTTTAGCCAGCGCTTTGATGAAGCATTCATCGTGCATCCAGAGTGCGCACGAGCCGCATTCGAGCAGCATCTTGTCAACGTTGGCAGGCTGCTTGCAGACACAGACCGCATTCAGTTTCTGCACATTATACCATCAGTACTTGCTCATTCTCAGGATGTTGACTCGTGTGAAGAAAGGAACGTACAGAGAATCTCGGTTTGCTTCGGTCTTCCATGGCTACGCATTGGCGCCAGAATATGGTATGGTCACGCGGGGCTGTGTCGTCGGACTCTATCCAGTAGTCGACATCGATCTTGCCAACAAGGGCGGCTGTCATAGCATCAGCACCAGATGTAGACTGTTCGGGGCGTGTCGTGCCGGAGGCATACTCGGTGAGATGATGTCAACGTCGTTTGTAGCAAGGATCTCGTTCATGCCGTGGTGTGGCTGTCTGCCCTTTGGCAAATCTTCTGGACGATTGTACCAATTGATCAGAATGAAGACATTTTCCTGATTTATTGCGCGAATCTCAATGATCCTGCCGACCCAACGCCCCTTCAATTCGGGGGCAAGTGCGGAGTTGTCGTCGGCCGTCTCATCCTGCATGATCAGGACATCGTCGCCGACGCAGAATTTCGTTCCCATGTCTGCACTGTGGTTCAGTCGCATTTCATGAGGCTAATGGGAGTACATCAAAACTCACACACGGCTTTCTTGTATCTTGTAAGAGCATCCCAGTCATGTCCATTCTTGATGCACACGCGGGATGCCGCCTTGAAGAAGCCCTCAGCCTGGTAGACCAAGCTTTGACCGGCGGCGATATCATCGAAGCTCTTTAGGACCTCGTCAGGCTTGGGCTTGTAGTTATATGGCACAACGTTGGCCTCGAAGCTCGGAATGTCGGAGACGGGTTCGCTGCTGGGCCGAGGGGAGTGCAGCGACTTACTCTTCTTGGAGGAGCTTGGGGTTGAGTTTAAGCCATCAGCCTTGCGCTTGAGGGCTGAGGGAACCGTCTTTTTCAGTGCTTCGAGCATGGCCGGATCCCCAGTGCGGTGGAGATTGATTGCGGATAGCGCACGTGCACGGGTTAGGACAGGCTGGGAACGCGACAGGCGGAGGACGAGCGGAAGGCGTGAAGAATGCACAAGGCCACAAGGCTCACGACGGAGCACTGTTTGGAAAACGCGATCGCGTCGCTGGGTGTTTGATCGTAGACGAGCGCTTTCGGCTAACTTTTGTGTACATCCGCTCGTGTTCGAGGGTGGAGAACCGAGAGAGGGAGAGCTTGCGCACAGACCTCCAACCCTTCTCTTGAATCCTTTGTGGGTCGATTGGCAGCTTGCTGTCAGTGAAGAGATGCGGTAACGGCCACTGCGGTGCTATGAACCTTTCTCCGTTGCGACACATCAATCGTCACAATGTTCTTCGGCTTCAGCTTTTTGTATGTGCACGGCTGCAACGCGCTGGTACAGGCAGAGATTGTGCGTGCGGGTGTGCGAGAAAGTGGATGCTGTATGCGTACATGCCGAGCTTATCGGTGTAAGCGGGCGCTGCGGCGCCGACGCCTTCCATCTTCACTGTTCAACAGGTGTTCCAATATAAGCGCGAAGGAGGACGCCGTCATAGCGTGCAAGCAGGCGCAGTTGGGCAGATTACGGGCATGCGGCGCCTGTGTCGTGATCCGACTCTTTTGACAGACCGGGCTAGCAGGGATTTGTGTACGCAGGAACGCGTCGCGAAATGTTGGCCGTCCTGACTTCAGTTACCAAATGACGGGAGCATGTGTGTCCGTCACGCAGATCCGTCTACATAAGGGCTGTCTTTTTTTGGAAGCCGGTGCGGAAAACTTAGTCTCAGCCGGTTCAAAAGGGGGCGGACAAGACTACAGGATTGGGCGCAGATTGAGCCCTGATCGGACCGTCGAAGAGCCTGCTGGCGGGGAGCTCGTACGCTCACGCGAGGAAATACTACTACACGTATTTGTGGCACGGAGCCATGCTGCTTGTCGGACGCCGACTAAGATCACCACCAGCCTGCACTGGTCTCGGCACTGGGTTGCATTTGGCCTGTACAGAGAGAACTGTGTGTGCTGTTACTGGGACGTGTCTTCGACCGTGAGGCGAAGGCATGGAGTCACGGGCAAGCGTCATCCGTGTGCCAGGGCAAGACGGCGAGTCCTCGTCAGCTTGGCGTTGCCTTGGGAAAGCGCAGAAACAGGCACGACTTGCTGAAGCCGGTTGCGAGTGTGCTGACATACATCGGCCATTGGGCACCCGCCGCCGAGCCGGGGGAGAGCGGCGTCAAAGTCATGGCGCGCGAGACACGCACGTCTCCGGATTGAACAAAACAATAGCGCCAGCAGCAAAGGTAGAGAATCAGCAGCGAGAAGCTCGAAGGCATGCTGGGTGTGGGCGAGCGGGAAGTTGTGCTTCGGTTCCGCGGGCGGGTGGTGACGTTATGTGGCTTCCCCGAAGTTGTGAACATGCACACAAGGCGCGATCGACACATATGTGGGCGCATACGCACGCAGGCAGAGCAGACACGGGTCGTGGGCTTGCGAGGCTGTTGGGAAGCGAAAGACAACGGCGCGGAGCCACGACCAAGGCTGGCCGTGTTTGCGCCTGGCGTTGCTAAGAATAAAAATCAACGGGCGCACGGAAAGCACGAAAACGACGAGGGCAATGACGATGTCGATGACGGGGATCATGATGACGGAGCGATGGTGATGGTGACGATGACGATGACGATGATCGTGAAAAAAGGCAGAGCTGTGCCGGAGGGCACGCTCTGCCCGACACTTGGGGCGTCGTCGGTCATCATCGCCGCTGGTGAGCTCGGTGCTGCGCTGCGCCGCGCTGTGCGGTGCTACGCAAAGTCCGCGTCCTCCACCGCTGCGCTAACGCCATGCTGGACTCGGCCGCGCTGGGCAACCCGGCGGGCAAGCGAGGTGGCCGACGGTGGTTGCGTGTGCGTGCGCGAGTGCATGCGTGTGTGGCGTGTGTGCGCGTGTCGAGCGAGCGGGCAAGTGGGCGCCGTGCGAAAAGCGTTCGAGACAGCGCCGACGTTCGTGTGCTACTTCGCCTGTGTGTCCATGTGTACGTCTTTGCGTGGGAGTGCTGGCTTGTGGAGCGCGCCGTGCTTCTGGACGCATGCACAAGCACCGTCATGTATACGCCGTCTGCCATGAGTGCACTGGACAGGACGAGCCAACGGCCGCTCGCTAACCTTGGTAGACTGACGACGATGAGTTAAGTCACCGTGGGAGCTGGACACGAGAAAAGTGTCGACGACAAGGTTCCCTCTTCCGCGCACTTCCTACCCAACGACTACCAATCTTAACGCCTCAAACCTTCGCATTCTTCCGCTTCTCTGCTGCTCCCCCCCCTCAATCTCCTCGTTGTCTTTCCCTTCCTCCTTTCGCTCTTGCTTCACCGTCGCTTGCTGGAATTCCTATTACATTCCCGGTCTCCTCGCCTAACCCTAATTCGCCTGCTCCGCTGCGCTGTCAGAGCCGCCACCAGCCGACAGTCTCTTTGTTGTCGACAAACTACGTAGCCGTTTATGGTCTAAGCGAAGCCCTCTTCGCGTTTTCCCCCGTCACGACGAATCGCTGTGCCAGCGAGCCTCAGCGTCGCCATGGCTCGAAACCGGGGTAAGTGTACATACAATCTTCATCCGGGTTACCGTTCCCTTGCTCCCACTTCGACCGCCATCGCTCTACATTCGCAGTCTGCACCGACGCGTCACATGTGGTATGCTCCTGAGTCAACCCGCTGTGCCAGGCCGTCTCTGCTGGATGCACCATCTGCGCTGTCTCTGTGTAGAACCGAGAGCCATACTCCAACACCCTTCGCCCAGCACTCCAACACGCAGCTAGCCGCCCAGCAACACCCCGAGCCGGGCAGCATCTGACTGACAATTTCCTCCATGTCCAACAGTATCCAGTTTCTTTGAGAAGTGGTCGCACTACCCTCGCGAGTCCGGATCTCCGCCTGCGGAGCACCGCTCGTCCTTCTCTCCAAAATCAAGAGGAGTGCTGGTCAAGGAGAGCCGCTCGCCGCCTGGCGACTTGTCTGCGCCCCCGTCGACGACCACCACAGCCGACGCTGCTCCGGTAAACACCGAGTCACCCAATCCTCCTGGAACACAAGCAAACACGTCCGGCAGCCGCAGCTCGTCGCGTCCCTCGTCCATGGTGCACACCTATCAGCCTCCGCTCATGGAAGTCGCAAACGACACGCCGCCCGAGCTGCAGCCCATCTTTACCTTCCTGAACAGTCATTCCAATAAGCTGTATCAAGAGGGCTACTTTTTGAAACTGCATGACCTGGACACCAAAGGCAGGCCAAGCAAGGACAGAAAGTGGCAGGAATGCTTTGCGGTATGTCTCTCGACGAGTACCGTGTGTGCGCCCGCCTCGTACTGATCATAGCAGCAACTTGTCGGAACAGTTCTTTCCCTCTGGGACGCCGCTGAGCTAGACGCCGCAGGCGAAGACGGCGAGGTTGTTCCAACCTTCATCAACCTGGCCGACGCGTCGATTAAGATGGTATGTTCTGCCCATGCAGAGCCAGAATTGCGTGCTGTCGATGCTGATCATAACCACAGATACACTCCTTGCCTATGAACGAAGGCGACGGGTCACAACTTCAGAACGTGCTAAGCATATCGACCGCGGCCAGCAATCGTTACTTGTTACACTTCAACTCGTACAACTCGCTGACCCAATGGACTTCGGGAATTCGCTTGGCCATGTACGAATACGCCACGCTGCAGGAAGCTTACACTGGCTCGCTTGTGGCGGGAAAGGGCAAGACGTTGAACAACATTCGTCAAATCCTGGAGCGTAATCGCTTTAAATACGAGGACTGGGCAAGAGTCAGGTTTGGGGCCGGAACACCTTGGAGGCGGTGTTGGTTCGTGATCACCCCCCCCGACGAGAAGGAGTGGGAGAAGGCTCAAAAGATGGCCAAGAAGAACAAGTATGCGAAACCGCCTGTGCTAAAGGGCGACATCAAGTTCTACGAGACAAGAAAGGTTACCAAGAGAACGCGGCCGATCGCCACGATCACAAATGCGTACTCTGCCTACGCAATTTATCCGCAGTCAAAGCCACTGATTGATCAGTCGACGCTCGTCAAAATCGAGGGTAAGATTACGGTGCACTCGATGCCTGAGTCTGTGACTGAAGGATTTGTCTTCGTCATGCCCGAGGTCCACCCAGCCATCTCTGGCTTCGAGATGATGCTTCGTTTCTTGTTTCCCGTGTGGGACACCTTTGCGCTTTATGGCCGGCCTCATAGGCTGATAGCGGACGTACTGGATCAGCGAGGCCTCATGTTCGCAATGCCCAGAGATCGGCGGTATGGTTACCTGGACATCCTTGATGTGGCGGCACAGATCAACACGGAGGGAAGCTCAACGTGGACTGAGCGGCAATGGCGCCTTAAGCTTAAGGAGCTCACATCAAAACGTATGCTGGCCATGGCAGATGAACCGCGTCGCAAAGTGCAAAGCAGGACTAGCATGCCTGGTGTTCGCAGCAACACTTTGCGCTTTGAGGATTCGGGAAGAAACCCACCTGCTGGGCACAACCCACCTCGTCGCGCCGAGTCTGCGATGGCAGGTACGATCCAACGCGAGGACAGCGGTCACCGTAGGGCAGCATCTGAAGCAAATGGTCTTAACCCGTATCAGCGAGACGGCTCTGTGCGACTCAATCAATCTACGTCAGCCATTCATGAGCAGGATGACGAACCGCCTGCACCTCCACCACATTCTACCTTTACGTCTTCGGAAAGTGTCGCACAGCTTGCCAATGTCAGCAGTGGGACCCCATCGCCTGACCAGGACATTCCTGTAGAAGTCAAAGCAATGGCTACGCGCTCTCCTCCTCCAGCACCAGTCGACCCGCCAAACTTTACTCACGCCCCGAGCGAGCGACCCCGAAATCGTCCAAATCAAGCCCCTGAGATTCGCCGCGGAGTTTCCGATCTTGATGCAGAAACTCGAGCGCAGATGGCCGAAGCGACGGGAAGCAATGCGCAGGTGCCTCAATCAGCTCCTCCTCCATATGATCCAAACGGGGCCGCTTCTGTGCATGGACAAGCGCCTTACAGCATGCAGAGCAGCTCTAGAGGAACCAGTCCAGATTCGAGAGGCGCAGCAAACTACAGGAGGAATGGGCCCAATGTCCCGCAACTTGCTACAATTCCCGCATCGCCGTATGTTGAGCAGGAGTCCCCAATTTTGGACCGCGCCGGTCAAGTTCTACCTCCCCCGACTGTGTCAGAACTTGCGCCGAGCGTAGTGAGTAACCTTTCTACTGCCACCACCACTACCACCACCACTACTACTACTAGTAGGGCAACTACCACGACTACGGCAAACAACAACTTGGCAGCAACTGCGGCCATGGCAGCTCTCTCAGCAACACCCCCCTACACCAAATCTCCGTCCCCTACACTTGCCAACAATCCTGTTGAGCAAGCTTACAACTTGTACAAGACGAGTTCTAATTCGAGCAATTCAAGTCTCCAAAAGGTTGCAACCAGCGGAAGCACAAAATCGGGCGCAGCTGTCCTCGAGCACAAATTCAGTGTCCAACGCAAGCCGGTTGGCACTCGTGCATCTGGACAAAATCAATTGGCCGCGGTAACCGGCGTCAATCCCCTTGCCAACCCTCAGTGGAATCCACAGCGATATTCGTATCAGTCCCCTGAACCAGTTTACGGTCAGATGAGCCCGTATGGTCAACAAGAGGGATATGTACCGTCCGCTCCTACACAAGTACATGGGCAGCTTCAGGCCACGGGCCCACCAATGCAGTCTAATGTCTATCATTTACCGTACAGTCAATCTTCATCAGAACATAATAGCAGCCCGCCGCAACAACCCCCTCCTCCCTCTTCGTACGGTCAAATGGCCTATCGTCCCACAGCTCAAACCAATTCAACTTCGCAGCCGAATGGAAGAAGTTGGACGTGATCCTTGACATAATCTTCTTTCCTTCCACTTGAATTTCCACTCGAAGCATCTTTTACGTCTCCAAACATGTTTGCAGGAACAGCATCTTATACGGCTTTCTTTGCGTCGACAGTTCGCAGTCACATATTTCTTCTGGCAATGTATGCGCTTTCTGCTCTGAGAATGATTTAAAAAAATGAGGCTTTATGAGATTTTGCTGCATGGCATGGCGTGTTTTCTTTTTTTTTTTTTTTTCTTAGGTTCTTTGGACTTTATATTTTGGGCTCAGAATAGAGCAGCGCGCAATGCGTGGATTTTGGTTACCCCCTTTTGCATTCGCATGATAAGTTTTGCATATGTCACGATTGGGATTTGGGTCCTGATACCGAAAAATGAAACCTGAGTTCGATGAAATATTTTTTCCTTATTTAAAAACATGCCAAAGCGTGACGTTGTACTAAGCAATTGGACCCTTGGTCAATGTCGCTTTCCTACCGAAGCAGATCTGACTATCTGAACTTCAAGATGTTTGGACTTCAAAACGAGTGGATGAATGCGGGGGAGGAGAGAAGCCTGCTCTATGAAGACTTGAAATTGTCCTGCTTCATACTCTGGTCCTCGTCACGACCGCTTAGAGACTCATTCGATTTAATGGCGTGAACAAACAATTGAGAACGTGGTCGCTCTATGTCTCATCATCAAGAGACATGTAGTCGTAGATGTTGATACAGTCCCACGTTGCCCTGTTCTCGTTTCGATCCATTTCCTAGCAAGGTGTGTAAAGGCAGATCAGTTATTTTCCCCGTTCCGATCGACGAAACGGCAATCTATGCGCTCAAAGCTGGTGACTTTTTATATTTCTTGCGTACCTGGTACGGAGATTCTGATCTCGGAGCTACTTTGCGAGAACCTTAACTGCCGACACGCCGTGCCGTCTAACACAGTGGAGGTCACTGGCCGAACTTTTAACTCTTGAGATCCAAGTTTACACGGTTTGCCAACAGGGTTGTTCTTATGCAAAGGACATGGGTTAGTGAGCTGCCCACGGTTCTGAATCTGGGATAAGACCCCCCCTGCTCACATCAAGCCCGTCGGATACAAGGCTGCGCAGCACGTTTCGGATGCGCCAGAAACGGCGCAGAGTAGACGGAGTAGATTGTGCTACCACTTTTATCGCCCTTGATCTTCCACTGGGAGTTCAGAGATGCAACTTCCAAGTCTTCCTTGCCTCTGGACAATGTGCCACTTTTAATGGCAGGGCACAATCTCCCCTCTGCACCATCGCATGCGAGTCGTATTGCCGCCGTTGTTGACCCGACCGACGGCTGATGGGTTGACGGTCTCAAAATTTCAACATTCAGCACACTGTAGGCTCAATGAACGTTACATTCAAAACAAAGGAAAGTGCAAGACCGAACCAAAGATTTGACGCGCTGTCATTCATCAGAGCTTCGAGATGAAATTTGGACTATCGCTCATATGTCTCTAGCGACGTGAAGGACTGACTACATTTGTTCCAGCTAATAGGGGTTAGAGATCCTTTAACTAGTGTCATAATATCATGAGAAATTCAATTGTCTAGTCAAATGTGGCCTACGAACGGAATTCAAATGTGCGTAAATCCAAGCCGTGATCAAAACTTTATGGAGGCCTTATCGATGTTCACATCGTAGCACGTCTGGATTTACATTGCGGCTTAATCCCCGTTGCTGTGCGCAAGAATGCGGACAAGAATGGACTCTTAAGGTGCGTTGTGAATGGCGTAGCCTACCTCGTTCCGAAGAACGTCGGTAACAAATCGACCGAACTCAAGTGTCCCTTCCGATATCTTCCTATATCCATTGTGGTGTCCAAAGAGTGTGAATGTCCCCTTGGCGGTTAAAAACCTTGGCTTTCTGCTCGGCGAGAGTCTCTGAAGGCTGGGCAGAATAGATGACACATTAAAAAATGGCAGCAGATGTGGGCTAAGGTTACATAGAGCATGCCCATGAAGGATCAAAGTACTAGGGATTAGCGTATGAATAGTCACATCTCATGGTACAAAACGGCTCATAGAATGCACCAGCCAACCAAGAGTGCGGAGCAAATGCCTCGATAAGTCGCTGTTGGTGCACATCGCAGTCAATTTGGGTAAGCCGTTGTCGAACGTTCAACGCGTGCCAAGTTCTTGGCATTATGTGGAGAGCGGAGAAGCTGGGCGGAGAATGCTTCGGAATTCTTATTAGTGCTTGAGCAGGGGTTTTTCCTTCAGATTTAAGGTCTGAAGAAGATGTTCAAGATACAGGGGACAGAGCGGCGCTTGTGGTCCCCCCTGCTTGTGAATATCAATCCCCATCCGAATTCGGGCGCATGCTGTCAGACCATACGGTACGTTTACCGTTGCTTCATCAACTACTAGTCATTTTACGCCTGCAGGATGGTTGCCACCAGCCTGGGATGTCCTTCACAAAGCTACGGATCGCCTTGCTGCATTGTGACTGGGGAATATATAAGTGCGAGGTAACCCAGACGTAATGCAGCTGAGCACAGAAAGAGAGGATCCAACGATATCATGGTGTTCAGCAAAAAGCTCAAGGACACTCCGAAAGAGGTCTCCAACTGGCGACTTTGGTATGGGGTTTTTGTGTTAGTACATCTGTCACTATGTGATGGGATCAATGAAGTCTCACAAACATCAGATTCGGGCTTATGGGCGCGGCTCGAGGTTTAGATGAAGGCTTAATCGGCACATCGGTCGAGCAGGTTTCTTTCCGTCACCGTTTTGGCCTTGATGACCCATCGCTGAGCAAACATGAACTTGCCAATACCATTGGAAACATCACGTCAATGGTCCAGCTGGGTTCGATCCTCGGTGCGCTCATCGGCTTCTATCTTGCTGATAAGCTCGGCCGGAAACTAGCGACGGTCCAGCTGTGTGCAGTTTGGGTGTTGGGCATCACGATATTCCTGGGTTCAGCTCCATCAGGCAACATGGGCATGGTTTACTCTGGGAGATTCATCGCTGGGGTTGGCATTGGCCAGACGACGATTGTTGCACCGACTTATCTCGCTGAAACAGCGCCTCGTGCGATCCGTGGCCTTTGCGTGTGCGTGTTCGCAGGTAGCGTTTACCTTGGAATCATGCTGTCGTACTTTGCAAGCTGGGGAAGTTCTATCCATATATCAAACCATGACCAGGCGCAATGGCTCGTACCAAACAGCTTGCACATCATGTTCGCAGGTATCATCCTTTTCTTGTCCTTTTTTGCAATCGAATCTCCGCGCTGGCTCATTAAAGTGGGCAGGCATGAACAAGCAGCCAGGAACTTGAGCAAGTTGCGCCAGCTCCCCGTTGAGCACCCCTATGTACAGTCCGAGATCATTGACATCAACGACGAATTGGATCGGGAACGCGAGGCTACCATGGGAGCATCAAAATTGGGAATGGTAAAGGAGCTTTTGTTCATTCCCGCGAATCGTTATCGAATCATGTTGTCTTTCATGTCTCAAATACTTGCGCAATGGTCCGGCGCCAATAGCATCACCATCTACGCACCCAGATACTTCGAAATGGTCGGCACTACCGGGCAAAATGAGAAGCTTTTCGCGACAGCAATCTTCGGCGTGGTGAAATTTGTTTCGGCTATCATCTGTGCCACGTTCCTTATCGACTTCATCGGACGCAAAAGATCATTGTATATTGGTATCTCGTTGCAGTTCGTGTCCATGCTCTATATGGCCTTGTTTCTTGTAATTGACCAGACTGTTGGTGACAAAAACATTGTCCAGAGTCCGAGTCAAAAAAAAGCCGCAACCGGTGCAATTGTCTTCATATATCTTAGTGGATTTGGCTGGGCTATGGTAAGTCCTTGTTATCCCGATCGTGCTTAGGAAGCACCCTGGAAAAGGTTGTTAAGAGTCTCTAGGGCTGGAACAGCGTGCAATATCTCATCAATAGCGAAATATACCCCCTGAGGCTACGAGCAATAGGCGGTAGCATCGCTATGACAGTTCACTTTGCCAATCAGTATGGCAACTCCAAGGCCGTGCCTTCTATGTTCATTGACATGACATATTATGGAACGATGTAAGCGCAGTCCTTGCGATTTTGATACTCGTCGATAATGCAAAGCTAACGCTTCAATCTCTCTTTAGGTTTTTCTTTAGTGCCGTTACGTTCCTTGGACTCGTGTGGGTGTGGTGGTTCGTACCAGAGCTGAGTGGCCGCAGTCTCGAAGCTGTGGATGCCATCTTCCAACTTCCATGGTGGCAGATCGGTCGCAAGGGCGGTCAGCTTCGTGCCACAACCGTTGCGGAGACATATCACAACGAACAAATTGAGAAGCCTGTTGTTGAGCGAATCAATAGTGTTGATGAGATAAATGGACATGGCAGGGCAGATGCATAAAAGCAATAAAAAGATGTCGAAGTTGAAAGCCAGAACGCAATGCAGAGAACCTTCCATTCTGGTATCTAGACATTAGTCTTTCCAACTGCCGTAGCAGTCCAATTCAATGCGCCCTTGCCTTGACTTCAATGCTGTCCCATTTATCTTCTTGGATACTCGATGATCTGGAAGGAAACAATGCAGAGTCCCTGAAGCAAAGTGCCACTTTTGTGATCGTAGCAACTAAAGATCTAAGATGTAGCCCATGTTATTTCGCCGTAATAATTTGAAAGCCTCCCTCTTTTGAAGCTGAGCATCAAGTTGCTGGACGCAAGATTGGCTTTCTCAACTCTGAGCGCGTGAGTATTTTGTCGTAAATTTAGTATTGGTTTTATGAAGAATCTCTCTGGAAACCCCATTGATAAGATCGAACGAGGCCACGATCAGATCTCAATATCAATAGCCAAATCCATACTGCTGATGATATCGTCATCCATTGTCATCTTTGTGAAGCGACCAGGTTTATGCTTGTGTGGGGTATTTGTACCACTTTGCGACACTGACGTGGTCGAGTTCTGAACAGCAGGAGCGGGAGAGCCCACAGCAGGAGATGCAGCGCGGCTAACGTCGCTTCCCCCTGAGAAGAGGTCGTCAAAATCGTTACTAGGGACGGCTAGCGAGTTGGACGTATCAGCAGCTGGTGGAGTTGCTGTGTTCGAAGCAGCTGGTCGACTTTGTGCCATCTGTGCCTTCATACGGGCGCGACGTTTAGCTTGTTCCGCGACTAACGCCTTTCTGACATCCGCAGTATTCTGCTTGCGGATCTTCTCGTTACGAAGACGAAGCTTCTCAGCTGCGTCATCGCTCTGTGTACGCTTGACAGGTGCGGAAGCAGCTGAGGTAGCAAACAGATGCTTGTATTTTTCACGTTTGGCGATCTTCTCGTTGATCTCTTCTGACGTCAGGTGGTGGTCTAGTAGCGCATTAATCTTAGCGCAGATCTTGTCTGTCTCCGATTTCATGGTCAAAGGCAAGCCGTCGGTTACGGTCAGCTGTTGCTTCCAACGGTTGAACTCTTTTTCTGTGAACTTGGAGTCGGAACAATGCATGAACGACCACTGCTTCTGAGCTTTTCCATGTGCAAGCAAAACGTACTGGTCTGTGTAGAAGGGTTGGACGGCCGGCGAGGCATCGACCAGGTAAGGAGTGCCAGTCACGATGCTCTTAATGACAGTCATGCGATATTCAGGCTGTCGATTTGCGTCTTGGCCAATGCACACACGTACGAAGCAGCCGATCATGGTCTCTTCGAACTTGGGGAAGAAGCAAACTTTCGCAAGTCTCGTGCGGCCGACACGAATGCGCTCGATATCGGCCAACTCGGCAGGTTGGTCCGTCTCTTTTTGGGGTGCACCCACAGGATATTCGATGTCAGGCGAACCGCTGGCATCGCGAGAAGAAGCCACCGAGCGAGACCGAGAGCGGCGTGTGCTCCGACCGAGTTGACGTCGTCGACCACCCTCTTTTGCTTGCTCTCGTTGTGTCTTGTACGCATCGAGGACCTTCTCACGGGAAGTCTTTGCGCGCGAGGGACGACGCTCGTCGTCCATCTCAGCAGCTGCCTTGCGTTTACGCGACTTCTCAGCTTCCTTCGAGTCGAGAAGGTTTTTCAGTTGCATCTCTCGCCGCTTAGCTGCAGCTTCTTCTTCACGCTCCGCTAACACCTGTTCGCGCTCGACCTCGGTCAAGCTGAGAACATACGCCTTGTCCGCAGCGTTCTTATACTTGCCCTCCAGAGGATATGGAACATCGTTAGTTGTAGCGTCTAAGTATTCGGCTGGCGATGCATCCGAGTCGGACTCATCCATAGCGTCAGATCCCAGTGATACTGGAGAGCCAGGCAAGGAGGAGCTGCGAGAATGCAAATCAGCAATAACGCGAGGTGATTGTGTAGCACAGAGCAAACCTACGCTTCGTCTTCACGGTCGGACTCTTCGGTTTTGCGACGGCGTGCAGTACCTTTAGAAGGCATTTTAGTAGCGACGCCACGTCGAGGTTGTGTTTTGGAGGTTTCGGTTGACTCGCGAGGGGATGATTGTTCGGGCGTCGGAGAGCGAGCGGCGGCAGGCGAGCTTGATCTCTCGCGGTCGCCGCTGGTAGAATCGGCTGCCTCATCCTTCCCCTCCGACTCATCGCCAACCATGGCCAGCAACGCATCATCGTCAAGAAAGTCGTCCATGTCAACCAGTGTAAATCCACTCCTTGTTGACGCACTAGTTTGAATAAGATCCAGTCAAATCAAGAGGAGAATTTGTTTGGTGAATAGGCCGCTCCCGAAGCAGATAGTCAAAAAACGATAAGTGAATGCGGGGTACAGAATAATTCGATGTCTCCAGAGGTAATGTCCGACACAGCCAGCTGTTGGGATCGAGAAGGGGAGAGATGATGACGCACAGAAATGGGATGAGAGCCTTGAGGGAAAGCGGTGCTAAGGGAGGAGGTAAGCGACGGCTTCCTATGGGCGAAGATGAACAGCGCGTGGGAAGACGAAGCGGGAGAGCGGAGGAACCGCGATGAGACTTGTTGAAGAGCAGCAGAAGAGCAGAGGCGACCAAGGTGAATAGGGAATCTGTAGATTGGGAGAGACAGGAAGTCTCCTTTGAGCCTTAAAAGTAAGGCATGTTGCGTTAGTCTAGGCACTCACGCTCCGCTTTCCGCCGCACGTGGGCCCGCTCGCTTGCGCAGCCAATCACGGTGCACATGTGGTCCACTTGCACTGGACATAGCATCTCTACCGGCAGAACTACCAGAACGAGCCAAAAATCAGAACCAGTCGCCATGTCGTCACCATCTCGTGATCCATCATAACTTCATCGTCTCCTCCGTTCCTGTGCCATGTCCTCCTGTTCTCAGTAGACAGGCCGAGTCGACTTCAGTCCGTTGTGCAGTCATGTATCTCGCCGTTCCGGTCCGCTCCTGCGCTGGCAAAGCTCTACGTGGTCGTTCACGCCCATCTTTATCATTCCCATCCCGGGCAAGCAAGCGGCACATTACGTCGTGCAATAAACGCTATGCTGCAGCATCAGCAGTGACAGTCGAATCAGGATCCGCAAGCGGTTTTGATCATGTAGATGCCTCGAGATCGCCACCACTACGTAGATCTCTTAGCGCTGAGCAGCGGAAATTTCTGGAGAGCGCGGTATGATCCAGACAATGCCACATGCCCCGGGAGTTCAAAAAGCTGACATATGACAGCTGAGAGTGAATCACGCGGGCGAATTGGCCGCGGTCTTGATCTATGCCGCTCAGAAACCTCCAATCTTGAAGGCCTATCCGCATCTGAAGGACCTGATGCAGCACATGTACGATCAGGAAGCTGGCCACCTCAAGACCTTCAACGAGCTGCTAGCCAAACACAGGATTCGCCCGACCATCATGTACCCTGTCTGGAAGCTTGCTGCCACTGCCTTGGGCTGGTCGACTGCAGTCATGGGCCGTGAGGCTGCCATGGCGTGCACCGAGGCTGTAGAAACCGAAATCGGAGAGCACTACAACAATCAAGTGCGAGAACTGCTCAAGTGGGAGAAGGATCTGGAGGCGAGGGGAGAGCCTGTCAGTGATGAGATGAGAGAACTACTCCAAACGTTGCGGAGGATACGAGACGAGGAGCTGGAGCACCTCGACCACGCGGTTGAAAACGACGCCAAGCAAGCCAAACCGTACGAGTTATTGACCAATGTCATCCGGGGAGGTTGCCGCACGGCGATTTGGATCAGCGAAAGAATATAAAGCTCCGGAAAAAAAAACATTTCGTGTACCATATGTAGCATTAACTGTGTAAGTATGTCCTTTTGTGAGTACGTCTAAGACGTATCACGCATTTAGATCGTGGCGAATCAGACAACTCATCTTGCAACCATATACAACCTGTCTGCCTGAGCCCGAACCACTAATAGTGACGTAAAAGCATTCAGCCACGATGGCCCACCAGGTGATGTCTAAGCAGCTTTATTACATACATGTATGTTCCCATCCATTGAACTGGGCAGTCATTCAATCAATCGGCTGACCAGTCAGCCGAACCTCCGGCTCGTTGGGGCGCTTCCAGCCATCATAGCAAATCATGTCACCCTCTCCATGGCAGAGCCTCTATGCCGTCCTGCCTGTCGGCTCTACCACAAGCGCCTTAAGAGCCCGGGGCCTTCCTCTTCCTCGCACTCCTCCTCGGCTGGCCCGACGAGCCTCCTTGCCCATGACCCGTACGCGCCCGCCTCGCCGCGCCGGATCCGGGCTGCTCTTCTTCTTGGATAGCCCGAGCTACCATCCATGCCAAATCCTCGTCGAACTCTCGCCAGTACTTGGCGTTGGCCCGACTCCTCGCGGCGGGGGTGGCCTCAGGAGGCATGTTCTTCCTGAGGTCGCGATGAGTCGGGAACCTCGACAGTGAGTCTTCGCCCGTGAAAGGGTCAACCCACGCCGGCTCGACGGCGGCTTCGGCAGCGGCTGCTTGAATGATTTAGCCAAGATTGAGCGTGACGAAGATCATGGCAACTCACAGGTAGCAAGGGCGGCTGGTGGCGCTGCCGTTGTTGGTGTTGGTTCGGCTGAAAAGTCATCCTTAGCTATAGTTCTTCTCCGTCTGGTTAAGAAGGGCGCTGAAACTCACCAACGGGAGGTGCAGTGCTTTTCCTGCGACTGGCGCGAGACGAGACTGGCTCCACCGCTGAGGCTGAGGCTGAGGCTGAGGCTGAGGCTTGTGCTTGAACAGCGCCAGCGCTGCGTCCGCGACGAACCTGGCCCCGGCGGGAAGGAACCTTCGCTGCCTTTGAAGATGGTGGCGGTGGTGGTGGCAGCGATGATGGTGATGGTGATGGTGATGGTGATGATAATGGTGTTGGTGGTGTTGGTGGTGTTGGTGGTGTTGGTGGTGTTGGTGGTGTTGGTGGTGTTGGTGGTGTTGGTGGTGTTGGTGGTGCCGCCGATGTTGCCGCCGCTGACACCGCTGCCGTTGTGATGCCGGCGGTGGTGCTGGTATCTTAAGAGGAAGCGTTAGCCAGAGAGACTTCAATAGCAAGAGCCTGGATAGATTTGAAAGTCTGAACTCAAGACCAGAAGATAAACTCACTAGCTGCTGCGGCATTGAGCACCGCCATGGCGCGAGGTCGGTGCTTCTTCGTCTTATTCAGGTATCTGGAATACCTGACTTGTAGAGTGCCCCAAGGACGCGCGGATTGGAACTTTGCGTTCCATGTGTTTGCTAGAGCGGGCCAGCCCGCGAAAGGTTGCCGCTCTTTCAAGCGGATGATCTCTGCGTCTTCTTCGGCGGTAAACAGACGAGGCATTGTGGGCAACTGTATTGGTGATGGAGGTTGTGGATCTTGAAGGAATTTTCTCAACAGCGCTGTGTATACGATATGGAAGTTTGCTCAAAGGTTGCTAGGAGACAGTGAAAAGGCATGCCATAAATTTGTTTGACCTAGCATGGGCGAACTGGTCAGTCACAATGGACCAGATCTGGTATTTAGAATGATCCATTGTTAGAATGACTATCGTGTGTATCAATACACCGCACGGCCATTATTTGTCCGCTGGTGATGAGTCTCAGCACCAACTCATTGTTATACGAATTGATCAGATCTTATTGAATGGCTAGATCTACTGAGAGCAGTTGGCAAAGACTCAGTAAAGTGACCTGCTCTATTCTCACTTTGCACCATAATAACAAAGCGTTGTGGAAGAGAATGGCGTAAATAAAGCAGAACGAAATAATCCGGATTCTCTACTTCATATGCGAATTTCATGGAGATGGTATTCTCACTCGTTTTTGGTAGTTCCGCAAAGTGATAATTTGTGCTCTCTTCAGACGTTACCCGACAATGGCGCATGACATGGACAGATTTGTCCAACGCTAAAGTATTCAGCCACCCGACTCACCAACAAAGCAAAGCGTGATTCAGTCAGGTTAAATCATAACGTGCAGTTTACTCTTCAGACATGAAACAAAGCTCGACCTTTTTGTGCGACTTGCTACACAGTGGTCGGCATTTAAAAAAAAAAAATGAAGTTTCAAGAGTGCAGCGATAAAAATGATACAAACTAACGGAAAATGAAACACTACACCTGGAGGTGGAGAAGTTCCTCTTCAAACCGACTATATTTTAACATGATGTTGGGAGCTGCATCGAACGCCTATATACATTCGTACATGATCACACACACCCCTAGAAGACCCATCTAAAGATCCCTAATATTGAAGAGTAATTTTCTGACCCTTTACCCGGCCAATGACAACTTGTGGTGCGTACTTGGGAATAACTTCATCATCATGTAACATCTCAAACTCTTCCGTCGCATCGCGGCCCATATGGCTGTAAAGAGCGGTTGGTCCTCCCTGCAAGAACGTTGTTAGTACATACTCCACTGACAGCAAAGATTCGTGAAGGAGACTTACGGGGTGCTCATCAACCCAGTTGGTGAGATCCAGAACAACACCCTTGACAGCAATCCACAGGTCATCCTTCTTGTTATGCTTCTTGACTTCCTCGAGAGTGTACTCTTTCTCTGGAATCTCGAACTTCTTAACGTCATTTGGCTTTTCGGAATCCTTAGCATCGCTCGCGGATGACGCAGGGGTTGCAGAGGACTGACTTGGTTGAGCGACAACGCTGGATGCGCCAATGGCACCGCTACCCCACTCAACAGAGATCTTGCCTGGCTGAGCAGGGTCAATGTGTAGTGAGATTTGGCCAAGACGAGCGGCGGCGGCCGAACCACCTTGTTTCAAAACCTTCTGGAAGGTGTATCTCGACGCGGATTCACCGGCAACGCGACCGTAGACAACGCAGCCGAGGAGTGATGAGCCACCAAGACGGTTAGCACCGTGAACACCTCCAGCCAATTCACCACAGACGAAAAGGCCGTCAAAAGGTTTCTTCTCCTTGTTCAGAACTCGGGCCTGGTCATCAATCTCAATACCACCCATGGTGAAGTGAAGAACCGGCTCCATAAGAGCGACGTAGAAGGTGTCGTTGATGTCGAACGGCATGTTGTGGAAGAACTTCTTGTTCCAGACGTCCTTCTTCTTTCCCTCGGCAATGGCGTTGTAGCTCTCGAATTCTTCCTGGAGAGCCTTTGCACCGCAGCCAATCTCATCGGCAAGCTCCTTCCCGGTCATCTTCTTCATCAAGCCGCGACCAGAGTAATGCCGAGTATGGAAGTCCATGTGATTTGAGGCCTTGGAGTTGAGGATGAGGCGGATAGGCCAGTTGCCCTTCTTCTTCTCCTCAAGCATCATGTTCGAGACATAGTCACGGTGGCCAAGGTCATCGCAGAATCGCTTGCCCTTGTTATTGAGGAGGATACCGCCCTCGCCACGGAGAGCCTCTGCAGCGAGGAACTTCCATTTGGAGCCAGGATCCTTCGGGTCAACAAGGCCAGTGGGATGTACCTGAACCTTGTCCATGTCGATGGCATTAGCGCCAATAGCCATGAGCATCTTCTGACCGTCACCCGTGGCGTGTACACCGTTGGTGCTGGCGAAGTCGTAGACGTCAGGTCGGTGCTTCTTCAGCAATGATGTCTCTGTGAAGTCGGCTGCATAGCCGCCAGTGGCGAGGACGACGGTGCCATCAACGCTGATGGTCTTGCCATCGTGTTCATAAGTGACACCAGTTGCCCGATTGCCATCCATATTGACCTTTGTGACTCTTGCCTTCTTTATCAGCGACGCACGCTCCGGCTCAGATTCGCACAGCTCTTCCCATCGCTGCATGAGCGCGTACGTGATGGCCATGCCAGGGAATTTGGCATCGTGGCCACGGTGGGTTCGCTGGTTAGAATGACCACTGTGATGCGCGGGTTAGTTACTTCTGCTTTTTCGAATGCCAGGGGGGGCGAAGATCGTACCCCAGACGGGAGACAAGTGTCAAATCGAGGTTGAACATATCCTGCAGCCAGTGCACGGCGTCGGCGGATCGGTAGGTAAGAACCTTGATGAGGTCTGGGCGAGCAAGCTCACGAGCGGACTTCATTGTGTCGTCGTAGAACTCCTTCACGCTGTCTTTGATGCCCAGGGCCTGCTGCGACCTGGTGTAGGCACCGTTGATGCCGGACGTAGCCTTGGTGGAGTTGCCTCCCATGAAGTCTAGAGCCAGAGTCAGGACGGGCAGAGGGGCTCGGGCGACGAAGATGCGACGTACTGTTCTTGTCAAGCAGCAAGACATTGCCACCAGAGAGGTAGATGGTGTGAGCAGCGCTCAAGCCGGACACTGAGGACAACTTGGTCAGCTTCCCATGCGAAATCATGTGGCCGTGACGGCTCTGGGTGGAGAGCAAAGAAGGCACGTACAGCCAGCACCGACAACGATAATCTTCTCAGTGGCCATGGCAACAAGGAGATGAATGGCAGAAGACGATGGAGAGAAGGAAAGGCTGAAGGATTGATGGTCCAGAGAGAAGGCCTTGGGACAGCCCGCAGTGGAGTAGTAATTAAGAAGGTAGTGTGGTGTTGTTCCTCGGGGTCGAGTGACGAACTAGCGTTAAGCCGAGGCTGCTTGCGGAGGAGAGACGATTCAGGTCAAAGCGCAGCACGACGTTGTCCTGGTACTGGCGCAGCTGACAGCCGAATAAGAGTCTGACGATTTTTCAACGCCGCGAGATTGGCTCCCACGCTGCTAAGACGGCGGATTTGGGCATGTGAAGGCCAGCCGCACAGCTTTTACACGAATGCCTTGGGATGCTTAGCGGGACGGGGGAAGTCTGGACAAAGGTCGGCGCAGCGCTCAGAGTCCGGGGGCGGAGGGCGTGTGGAGAGGAACAGCGGCCGTTTCGCAGGTGGCGTCACCTCTGGATCCGTTGCTCTCTTCACATGCAAAATCAATCGAGGCCCAGGTCGCGTCGCCGTTGTCTGGCCATCGGACACGTGCGGCAGCAGCAGCAGCCAAGTTCGCTCAATTGCCAGCACTGCAAGCACACGTTCTCGTGATGCGCACCGCCCAGTCGCGCGCGCTGCGAGCCTCGTGCGTGATGCCAGATCCTCTCGGGGCCGTCCAACTCGCCGCGATGCCGCCGAGGGCGCGGTGGCAACAGTCGAGGGTTTGGCTCTGGCCTGTCATGGCAATTGCCGCGCCTCTGATTGGCCGGTGCATCACGTCCAGTGCATTATTCTCCCTCCGTCGCTCTCGACACGGCTTCACGACAAACTGGGCCCCAGCAGTCTCTGGTCAGCCTGCACAGCTTCGAACACGAGCGAGCTCAACATGCGCGCGGCTTCGGCCTCGTTTGACCCGGGCTGCCCAACCCGAACCTCCTTCCGTCTTGACACGGGTTCAATCACGATGCACGTCGTTCCCTGTGCTGCTGCAGTACGAGCCGCACGTATCGCCGCGCTTTAAGCCGACGCCGCTCCTCGGGAGAATCGCATGAACGAGTGTACCTTCTCGATGTTGGACAACATGGCTGTAGCCGATCGCCCAAGGATGAGGAAGAGCCGAAGCGTGAAGCGCCCGAGTCGTCGGTGCCTTGCAGCCTTGTCGAGATTCGCACCGCCAGCCAGCCAAACGTGCCAGTGCCGAGGACGGAATCGCCGCTTGATCCGTCGTCTCTGCCTAGGGCAATCTCGTACACTACCCAGTTCTTGGATCACCAGACCTTGCACGTTTCTGGACCTGATCTTTTCGCGGTCAATGAGGCTTGGACACTGCTTTGCTCCTGCGGCGCAAACATTTCAACTTCCTACATGAGAAGACAGAACACCAGGAACGCCCCTCTTCACTAAAGCTGCGTAGCCTGGAGTCGTCCCAAGCCTTGCTGGTACAGCTCGTTCTGGTGTGGGGCAGTGACCCTGCTCGTCATTCGTCATAATTCATAGTGTACCCCTCCAGCGAAGAGCAGAACGGCAGAGAGGCTTCAACAATCACATTTGGTTTTAGTCCAAACACAGACAGCGCCCGTTACAATGTCTCTCAATCCGAAGTTCGCTGGCCAAAAGCTGGTCGCCGGCGTCTCGCCCAAAGCCATCCATACGCTTGAGGTGTACCTGGACTATGTGTGCCCGTACGTCCAGCTTTCTGTGCGCTCTCCGGCACGCTTCTGACCATCCACCAGCTTCTCGCGGATCATGTTCACGCGTCTGTACCAGAACATCCTGCCCATCGTCCAGACGAAATACGCCGGCCGTCTCCAGGTCATATTCCGACAGCAGATCCAGCCGTGGCATCCGTCGTCCACCCTGGTCCACGAAGCCGCCGCTGCCGTTCTGAAAGTCAACCCGGACAAGTTCTGGGAGTTTAGTGCGAAGCTCTTCGAAAAACAGACGGACTTTTTCGACCTCGCAGTCGTCAACGAGACGAGGAACGATACCTACAAGAGACTCGCCAAGCTTGCAGGATCCGTTGGCCTGGACGAAAACGCGATCTACAAGTTGCTCGAGATTGGCGACAAGCCAGCGGCGGACGGCTCTACAAACTTCGGAAACGCCGTCACAAACGACATCAAGGTTATGGTGAAGACCAATAGGCTCGTGGGCGTTCACGTCACTCCAACCGTCATCTTCAATGGCGTTGTCGAGAATAGCATATCCTCAGCCTTCTCTCAGGAGCAGTGGGAGGAGTGGCTGGAGAAAAACGTCGTGTGACTCCAGTATAACCAAGGTGGAGGCGAGACCAAACGTAACCGCTTGTGAACCGAGATTTTGTGTCGTGCTGCTGTTGCTCACATTGAGATGAGGCGCTGTTCGCAACTTGTTACCTGATGTTGGCACACCCCATGACGGCACGTAGAAGTGACTTGGATCCTTGACGCTCCTTACTTTTAAATAAAACAAATCAGGTCGTGAGAGTTGTGCAATACGACCACGCTGACCATGTTTCGTATGCTGTTTTCATTCAATCCCACCAAAAGCTAACACTACAACTGGGACTTAGGCTGCGGACGTAATGCCACCAGCCTCTGGGTATAAAAAGGCATTCTCCCTGTCCAAGAATGCCTTCGACGTAGTTTGCGTCCGCGAATTTCGGGAACGTCCTAGCAAAAACCTCTTTTTCAATAGCTTGATCTGTCGGCGCTGCCTGTCTATTTAGATCGTTGCATGCCGGCTCAAGGCTTCGACCTTCCAAGACCTTCATTGCCATGTCAACGTCGACCTCGCTGGTGTTGCTCATGTCGACGTCCCCTTCCTTCGATCGTGGGTACAGATTTTCAGTCTGACACGGAGGGTACAAGCGCACGTATTTACTACCAAAGACCTGAGCGAGAATGTTGTGGTGCGGGTCTGTGTGCAGCGGCGAGATGGTGTGGGCCGGGCCAATCCAAACGTTGAGCATGATGTTTCTGTCAAGTGCGTCGTCGTCGCCGTCGGCCTCCTCTCTAGATCCGTCGTCGCTCTTTTCTGCCCTCTGCGGCTCGGGCACCGTCGCATAGCAGAAATCCGGAATGGCGATGTCCGCTCGCAGCTCAGGAATCTGCGCGAAGAGGTCATGCTGTGCCAGGTACCCCGTCTTTCTCTCCAACAGCGACGTCTGCGGATCTTGAAGCATGTGACTGACGAGGAACTCCCCAAACGGCATGATCTTCTGGCCCCAATCTTCGTCAGTGTAGCTCCTTCCAAGTTCCACGGGCACCAAACGTCTGCCGCCAAGTGTGCGGGCAAGCAAGTGTTGTGGATTTGACCACTTCCTATCCTCCTCGCTAATAGCAGGCCAAGGAACCAGTGCACCAGTGATGATGAATGGCACAGGCCCTTGCTTGTTATTCCTGTCATGATCTTGATTAATGCGCAACTGAAATGCCGGTAAAGAGGCGATGCTCAGTCTTTCCATGGGTTCTAGTAACTCCAGTTGTGAAATGCGTGCTTGGGGAAAGGACACAGAAATCGCATGCTCAATTTTTCGGCGCTTTCGGAATCCACTCGCTTCTTCCTCCTCCGCAGGGCGAGCGGAGACCTGAGTTGGTTCGATGTATTCGTATCGATCTATTTTAGGCTGTGAAACTTGTTGTAACCAGTGAAACAAAGACTGGATGGCCTCATATCGTCTCGGAGCCCCGGTCAGGATGATGGCCATATCAAGTAATTTCACCACGTCTGACAACCAATCGTCACTTTCGAGGGCGAGAATCTTCCACAGCGCTGCGTCCGTGTACAATCTCCGCCAGCACTCCGGAACCTCTCGATACGGAAACGCATGCAGCTTCTCGTGAGCGAGGGAAAGCACGTCATCTGCGCGATGTTTTATTATCGACAGCGGAGCAGGACCACATTCGAGAATTGGATCATCTGGGTCATACTTTTGCACAAGAATCTCGGAAATCTTTCTCTGCAACGTTGATCTGCACTCAGTCCTGCATACCATGTTAAGAATGCAAAAATGACAAATGAGCTGGAGTAGAGACTAACAACTCCATCTGCTGTCAAGGTCTGTTAAGCTACGTTAGGGCCACAGCCGCGTCGACATTCGACATAGCGAAGCAAAGATTTGATTTAGCGATGATCAGTTTTGAAGGAAATGCTGGAACAAGCACGGAGGATTGGTCCCGTGTATGTCTTAATCTGTGATTGGCTCAAAATATCGTGGCCACTTCAGTACTTCACATCCGTCCCGACCCTGCACAGATAAATAGAAAGCACATCTGACGGCTGTACTGGTGGTTATCTCACTTTGATTTTACCGTGTTATTTTGGCTTTGCGATGATGCCTTCAGGTGGCTCTCGATACGATCCCCTCGGTGCGGATCTGAGGATGCCGGCAAAGTGGAGCATTACAAGGGAGCTTCTTCTTGCGTCAGGATTATTCATTAGCAATCGATTTGCAGTTTACCCACTCACACTTAGTTACTTATTCAATTTATGCATTCCTCTTGACCTTCCTTTTTCAGTCTTGTGACAGTTGACGGGACAGAACTTGCCGTGATCGGCTTAATGATGTCGCGAGTCAATCCAGTCACTGTTTGACTGTGACGCACCGTTATCGTGGAAAGTTTGCAGTGTAAACTTGCTCTGCTCGCAGATTATGCTTGTCAACATAACCCGGAAGCTGTTTAGACCAAGATCCATTGCATCTCGAACCATTGCTACAACCATGATAGTGAATGCGACAAAAGCCGAGGACGTTGTTGGCAAGGTGGAAGACCTGAAGTTCCAATACTTTCCTAGTCGACGAAGCGTCGTATATAGCACAAACGGCATCGTGACATGTACGGAACCATTAGCCGCCGAGGCCGGGGTCCGCGTCCTCAAGCAAGGAGGAAATGCTGCTGTTCGTGCCCCAGTCAACCTGGATGCGAAGACATGCTAAGTATACTTTAGGACGCTGCAGTAGCGGTGGCAGCGGCAATGAACGTGACAGAACCTAGCATGACGGGTATCGGAGGAGATTGTTTCTGCTTGTTCTACAACGCAAAGACCAAGAAGGTACACGCACTGAATGGGTCAGGCAGAGCTCCGGCGCATACATCTCTTGAAGGCCTGAGGAAGGATTTGAGCGCCTTTGGGCCAGTTCGCAGTATTCCTACGGAAAGTGTGCACGCAGTCACAGTGCCAGGAGCCGCAGGAGGCTGGGTCGATGCGGTGGAGAAGTTTGGCAGTGGCAAGTTATCGATGGAACAGATCCTCAAACCTGCCATCGAGTATGCTGAAGATGGGGTTCCAGTATCTGAACTCAGTGCCTATAATTGGAGGCAGGGCGAAGCGCTTCTCAAGAAGGCGTCTCCTAATGGAGCGGAAATGCTCAAGAAGGATGCAAACGCGAAAGATGGCTGCAGGGCGCCAGGTCCGGGCGAAATAATGAAGAACCCCACAATGGCGAACACGTTTCGACTTGTAGCCAAGCATGGCAAAAAAGGGTTCTACGAAGGACCGGTTGCAGAAGCAATAGTCCAGGTCATATCGGATCTTGGAGGACACATGACCCTGGAGGATCTGAAGAGCCACGCCCAAAGGGGCAGCGAAGAGCCAGAGCCCATAAAGCTGAACTACAGAGGCCAAGGTGTGAATGCTGAGCGGGGAGGAGTGAATGTATGGGAACATCCGCCCAACGGCCAGGGCATCGTGGCATTGATTGCACTCGGCATTTTGGAGCAGCTTGAAAAGACAGGAAAGATAAGAAAATGGACGAAAGAGGATCATAACTCCGTTGAGTAAGCAAAAAAAAAAAGCGATAGTTGGCACGAGATGAAGAGGTACTGATGTGAAGCAGGCACCTGCACGCATGTATCGAAGCATTGCGCATTGCATTCGCGGATGGACGATGGTGGATAGCAGACCCAGCTCTCCAGAACGTTCCGGTGCGAGGATTGCTCGATCCAGAATATCTAAAGAAACGAGCGGAACTATTCAACCCTGACAAGGTCTCGGACACTGTCAGCCATGGTTCGCCAGCGCACAATCACAGTGACACGGTCTACTTCGCTGTGACGGACAAAGACGGCAACGGTTGCTCCTTCATCAACTCCAACTACGGGGGCTTCGGCACGGCCATCGTGCCAAAGGGCTGCGGCTTTACATTGCAAAACCGGGGCGCAAACTTCGTGCTTGAGGAGGGCCATCCAAATTGCTACGCGCCAGGGAAGCGACCGTATCACACCATCATTCCGGCCATGATTACAAACCCGGACGACGACTCACTGCATGCCGTGTATGGTGTTATGGGTGGATTCATGCAACCCCAAGGCCACGTACAAGTTCTCTTGAATTCGCTCGTCTTCGGCCTAAACCCGCAGGCGGCTTTGGACGCTCCGCGATTCTGCATCGGCGGCAGCTACGAATTGGACGATTTGGTGTTGCTGGAGGAAGGAATCGCACCGGAAGTGGTGGAGGGCCTGAAAAAGCTCGGCCACCATGTACAGGTGAGGACCGGCTTGGAGCGAAGCGTGTTTGGGCGTGGTCAGATCATACGCACGCACTGGGACGAGGGCCAGCTTGTCTATACTGCCGGCAGCGATCCGAGAGGAGACGGAGCAGCCATGCCGGCATAATCGGCGTTGCTGAGAAAGACGCGTGCTGCAACAGGCCCATTTTGTATCGTATTGGATCAGGATGCACGTCAATATAGCAGCATGGCCCGAAGTTACGCTTTCCGTGGTCGAAGGCATTCCAGACGCGGGTTTCTGGACGTCTTCGTCGAGGATGACAGCAGAAGTATTGTCCCATCTATGAACAAGGTGAAACGTCTAAAACGGACATAAGATTTCACTCCATTTCTTTATATTTCTTTTCTTTTTCTCCACAATTTGTTCGACGATCTTGGACGAGCGGGAATGTACGGCGTGCGTCTGGTTTGGAATCACCTACAACATTGGTACAGCTTTTCAAGTTGATAGAACTAAACTAAAACTAGTGATGCCGAAGTCGGCAAGCCCGTCTGCACCGCATCCAAAGTAGAGGTTTGAACCGAGAAGCTCGTTATATTCAATTACATCCAGCAGCGTACCGGCCGGGGCTTGAAAACATCATACGAGGTCTACATGGCAGGAATGGATGTTGATGTAGATGAGTCCATCTCTCCGCCCGCGGACGAGTCCATCGACCAGAAGGCAGCAATCCAGTACTGGTCGTCTGTCAGTGCCGACAACGCCGGTGTTCTGGGAGGCTACCCGCAAGTATCCCGTGTCGATCTCCAGGGAAATGCGACTTTTTTGGCCAAGCTGCGGCGAAAGAGCTCAAAATATAAGCCTGGCACGCGGATCTCTCGTGTGGTTGATTGCGGTGCTGGCATCGGCCGTGTCACTGCGGGTTTCCTGTCCAAGGTCGCAGACGTGGTGGACATTGTCGAACCCGTAAAGCAACTGACAGATGTGATTACGGAGGGCGAGAGCTTCAAGGAGATTCGAGACAGAGGTGGGATTGGCAAGGTGTACAACGTTGGCTTGGAAGAGTGGACGCCAGAAGTCACGTACGACATCATTTGGACACAGTGGTGTTTGGGCCAGCTTACAGACGCCCAACTCATCGATTTCTTCTCACGAGCAAAGTGTCATGTCCACGAAGGCGGCTGGATTGTGGTCAAGGAGAACATGAGCACCGACGCGAAGGGCAACGACATCTTTGATGCGACCGACAGCTCGATCACGCGGACGGACGCAAAGTTCAGGCAGATCTTCGAGAAGGCCGGGCTGAAGATTGTGGCCACGGAAATCCAAAGGGGAATGCCAAAGGAGTTGTTCCCGGTGCGAAGTTATGCACTGCAACCCAGAGCCGGATGAGAGGGTGGCACTAGTCAACAGTTCACAAACAGCTCGACCCGTATCACAAGACGAGAAGCCTGCACGGAGGCCTTGAAGACGAATCCACAACTTCTCAAACCTTGGGAGGCACGAGAATGATCGAAGATCACCACCTTTTGCTTGTACTCATGGCGAGGAGTTCGGATCCCTGCCTGGTGGAGTGCAATGATTGTATGTGGTCGTCACCAGCGCAACAAGATTGCAAACAGGACTGGAATGATATATATTGTCTTGTATGTTATGTAGACGGCAAGAGAACAAACACGTACTTGTCGGCGATGTTGTCAGCACCGATGCTCTCTCAGAACTCGTCACGGCCACATTGTTCTGTGAGACAGGATAGGTAGCCATACCTGCAGGGCATGAAACGTCGTCGACGATGAAAATCAAGACATGAAACCTCTCCCGAGTATGCTCGCTACGTGCACAATGCGAAAACAACGTCCGGCTGGACGTATCTTGGCTTGCACCAACGTGTGGACCGACGCGGCGAAGGCTGAGCCGGGCAGGACGAAGCAGGCGAGGAAAGTGCAGAGCAGCGACAAGTACATCCGTGAATGGTTCTTTCCTCGTTCTGCAGGCGCAGTGGAGCCGGCCGTGGCTGGACCCTGCAGCCGCCGCAGTCCCTACGCAGCGTGAGTGGCTCAGCCATGGCATTTGGCACCTGTTTTTAGCCTTCGTGGCCCCCACTAGAGTCCTGCTTCCTCACCCTTTGTGTATACGGTTTGTTCAGACGCTTCAAGCACCGTGAAGACAGTGCCAGCCGTGCGGACGAGAAATCTCCCTCTCTCGGAAACTACGGGACTGCGTGCCGCAGGACCAATTTACCAACTACCCCACATATCTCAGACTGCTACTGCAACCACAACGCAGCCACAGTCGTCTTCTTGGTTTCAGACAGCCGCGCCTGTAGGCCCGCCTGGATGTCTCGAAGATTGAACACCCCTAAGTCCAGACTTTCTCTGTTGCTTTAGACTCTTTCACATATCAGGCTTGAAATCATGAAGAAGTTTGGATTCTCCCGTAAAGAGAAGGATGGTGACCGGAGCGGCAACTCGTCCCCTGCGCCGTCGGCAAACCCGTATGCCGTCAACCAGCCCTCGAGCGACGCCTACGCGAACCCGCCGCCGTACAGCGGAGGCAATGACCGGTATAGAGCAGAGAAGACTCCCGCAGTGACCAACGAGAGGTACGGTAACACCGGCGGCTATGGCCAAGGTGGCTACTCTGGTGCGTCACGATACGGAAATGGGCCCTCGCCTGGAGGCAACGACCCTCCACAGTCTAGATACGGAAGCGGTGGCTATGGAGGACTTGGCGCACCGCCGGCTCCAGGGGGCAATAATCGCTACGGTGGAGCACCGAATGGACTACCATCAGGTCCTGCTCCTGGCGCCTCACGATACGGAAGTGGTCCAACCCCAGGCGGCAACGAGCCTCTGGGTGGATCTAGGTACGGCGGTGGAAATCAGCCACCGAACGGCTCCAGATATGGCGGTGGAAACGAGCCTCCTAGCGCATCGAGATACGGAGGGGGAAACGCGTACGGGGATGCTGGAGCAAAAGGCAACGCACCATCAGCAGGCGCCAACCGATACCAAAACAACTATGGTGATAATCAAGGGTATGGAGCGCAGCTCGACGAAGAGCGCAAACAGTCCGAGTGGGAGTCGGGGAGGGGCCAAGGCGGGGCTCAAGGCTATGGTGTGGTATGCTGGAATCCAAGCCTTCTTCGTGATTGCGTGCTGATGTTCTCCTCAGAGTTATATTTGATCTTATAGCACCCTTTTGACGCTATATATTTTTATCTAACGAGCTACAGGCTTATCAAGATCGTCAATTGACAGCCGAGGAGCAAGAGGAAGAAGATGTCCAAGGTATGACTTCCTTGTCTACTGTTGAGGAGCATATAGATCCTATCCACAAGCGATTTCGGTGCTAGGTAATTCCGACGAGCACGACGCTTACTCTCTTTTTCTAGGTATTAAGAATGAGATTCGAGCGATCAAGCAACAAGATAAGCCTCCCTATACACCCTTTCGCTCCAGCAGAGCTGACCCTTCTTATACATGTTAGCTCAACTCGCAACGCTCTACGTATTGCCCAGATGTCTGAGGAGACTGGAAGAGCGACTCTCGAGAGACTTCAGCAGCAGGGCGAGAGGATACACAACACGGAACGGAACCTAGACCTGGCGTCAAATCAGGTGAGTAGTATATCACTCTATCTTACAAGAGACTAATTACTGTATCAGAACCGTCTTGCTGCTGAGAAGGCTAGAGAAATCAAGACTCTGTAAGTAATTTGCTCCCAGAGACTCCACGTCGGTCTCTCGATTACGCTGCGCAGTCTCGGGGCTGTTGGACAATGACACGTTTCTCGGCTTGAACTAACGTTTATTGTAGGAATCGTTCGATGTTTGCTGTACACGTGAAGAATCCTTTCACATCAAAACAGCGAGTTGCCGAACGTGAGGCAGAGGTCTTGCGACAAGCACAGGAGGACAGAGAAAGGCGTGATGCAACTCGAGCTGCCGCATGGGGCAGCCAAGAAAGGGCTGCTCGCGTTAATATGGAAATGAACAAGGGACAGACTGGACCGAAGAGCAAGACCTCTCTTGCTGAAAGGGCCAAATATCAATTTGAAGTAGGCCTTTGAAATCCAACCCTTCTCGTCGTAGCCCTTTCAAAGGCATTGATTGCTGATACATACCTTTTTACCAGGCCGACTCCGAAGACGAAGAGATGGAGAATGAAATAGAGTACGTTAGATACCCTATTCGAATAGAACATAGTCACTAACAGAATGTTCAGTAACAATATAGACCTTGTGAGTCGGCCGCTGCGTTCAACAGGAAACTTTTGCGAAACTGTGCTGACCATCACAATAGCTCGCAGGTGCGGCAAGCCGCATGAAACTGATCGCGGGTGCGATGGGATCCGAAATTGAATCGCAAAACAGACACATCGACCGTATCGGCAGCAAGGTTGACAAGGTAGACGACGAAATTGCTTTGAACAGAAGCAGATTGGACAGGATCAAGTAGACTTGCGGACATGCGAGTTCAGTTGGCATGTGGAATTTCTCCTAGTCTTGTCTCTGCGCATGGATTGGCAGGACCCGTAGCACAGTCCCCTTTACCGGGCGTTCAATTTGGACAATAGGGCTATGATAGAATAGCAACAGACGAAACCTTATGGTTTTGGGGACTCATCAACGCCTTCAGAGCTGTTTATGAAGTGAAAAGTTTCATTTATCTCTTGTCAATTCTGAAGTGGAAGTGGACAACAGCTTGGAGCGAGTACTCATATTCTCGAAGCTGCTTCCAAGTCTTCCTTGGTTAACTCGTCTCCTGGTTTTCTAATTGGCCCTAGCCTTCCTATCCTGAGCAGCCTGCCAATCATGTCCTCGTCCCCGAAGTGCGAATTGTGCTCAAACTCTGGCTCCTCGTCATACGCTTGCCTAGCCGCATCGACTAGAATGCGTGCCGTCATCCCGAACACCCTGAACCGCTTCATGGTGTCCTTGGCCTGCCGCACGGCTGTCGCTGCGCGCGGAAGATCCCGGTAGGGAAGCGAGGTTGAGCCGAGCGCGGGCGAGGACGAGGACTGCGGCTTGGACCAGGCGACGGTCTGGCCGGCGACGGGCACGTAGAAGTTGTGCATGCGCCACCGGGATTCGTGCCAGTCTGTCCACATGCCCTGATACCACTGGGCGGGGAATCCCGTCGCCTCAGCGCCGACGTCCTCTCCGGCGTCGGTGGACCTGTGCTCGATGCGCTCATCGGTCTCGCGGAGGAAGTTGTGGAACGGCGCCGAGAAGACTGCGGCGACCTCGCGGGCGTCCAGCCTGGGGAGGAGCACTTCCTCGGCAGAGGGTATCGGCTTGTCCTTTGGCCAGTCGTACGAAGGGTTGGGCGAAATGTACGCCACGCATGGGCGGACGCCCAGTTCGGTGCGGGCAAGATTGCACGGCATCTGGCACAGCTCCTCGATCTGGTACGGCGCGGGCAGCTTGTTGTCTGACAGGGGGAGGCCGATCTCCTCGTATGCTTCGCGACGCGCCGTTTGAAATGGTGTTTCTGTGAGGCTATCCGCCTTGCCTGGCAACTTCTGTGTCAAAGAAAGTTCGAACAGGTAAGTATGGTCGCAGCATGCCCGACTCACCTCCAGGAAGAGCAGCCTGTCCGGCATCTGTCAAGAACACGGGTCAGCGTTTCAAGGACATTTCTTCACGGCTGTTGCATTCCATACAAGACTTGAGTGTCTTGGCTCTCATCGTGAGCACAACTCTGAGCTCCCCATGCTTGTCCGCATAAAGCAGGATCAACACGGCCGCCCTCCGCGTTAGCGGAAGCGAATAATACTGTGTCGGTGGCGGTACGTAGCTGCGCAACCGCGCAATAGCGGCCTGCTCGAATGAAGAACATCAGCATCGGTACGGGCTTCCTCGGATGTTAGCAGTAGGAGCCGGAGGAAAGTACCGCATGCGCAGGCTTGAGGTTAGCCATTCTTTGTCAGGCCCATGCCCATCTTGGGGGTGTCCAAGTCATTACTTATGATTCTGCTTAGATCGGACAATAATTTGATTTTAAGGAAATACTATGAAGCGAAGCGATGTTACGAGCCGGATGAAGTTTGAACTGAGTTGTGCATAGTGGGGGAGGGCATGACGAACAGCTACCTCGGTCCGTGCATGTACGTCAAAGATCACATCTGTGCAGAGGGATTCGTAACGACAGCGTCTTGGCAATTCACGTATTTTAAGTGAAAATTTGGCACCTGAGTATATATTTGAGCCGTCTCAGACATTCATTGTGTTTTATCTAGCGGCAGCTGAATGCTCATTCTATGCTGCAATGAAGGGCCCGTTGCTATTTTGACCCGGGTATCAAAGCTACCATGTATCCCACCAGCGCCTCGCCAATTAACGAAATCCGTAGTTCATCGCTTAACGAAGGCAGTTTGCGATTGAAATATTATGAAAAACCTGTCGCTTCTCTTTCAATTTCCTTTCCTCACTGAATATACGCCTCTGCTGGAATCGCATCCTTGTGGCTGGCGAATGCAGCAAGTGCATCCTGGTATGACCATCCAACCTGTTCCAAGCACATAACTGAGTACTGCATATTCATCCCTGTAGCTTTTGAAACCTCCAATGCCATCATCTCCTTTTCCTGCGCTTCATTCATTGGAGCAGAATCTTGAGGTTCGGGCTGGTATGCTTCATAACCTCCATAAGCTCTTACGGTAAGCGAATCTGAGATGACACGCACTCCATTGGGTCCGCCAGGTCCGAGCACAAACGTGCGATCGAAACTACGGAGTTTGTTGTTTTGCGGTTCTTCGAACTCGCCATGTGCTGTGATGACCAAACCATTAACACCTCCAGGCGCTGCACCTGTGGGGTCGGGCAAACCAGGCTGTGGTCGACATTCGAGCAGCCATTTCTCAGGGCTGCTTGCGAAATCAGGGTGTCGTGTTGCTGGCAGCTCTGCAAATACCTTGGCAATATCACCTGGGCCGCGGTAACTTCGTCTTGCCCGAGCGTTGAGGTGATCAAGTTTGAGCAAGTTTCGACTGTGCTTAATATAGTGGGTCCATTCGTTGCCCTGGGGTTTTGGCTGTGAGGGATCCTTCAAAGCTCGAGTATTGACTTGCACTTGAAACGTCGAATTCTCATCGTAATAATATTGCGCCAAGCCATTGCGATCATTATCGTAGCCTGCAAAGAAGGTTTTGAGGAATTGCTCTCCGATCCCTCCTTGGTCATCGAAGCGACCTGGCTGAACTTTTGGTGGCCCTTTTTTCGCTCGAATGGCTTCTAGCTCAGCCGCTGGAATCTGCAAGAGGTCTATGCTATGCAATTTTGGGTACCATTTGATGAGTTGGACCTTGAAATCGGGGACTTCTTGTTCTATGGGATTGTTCGTCAGGATGATGTGTTCGAGCTGTCGAAACTTGTGTCGCCACCGCTGCAAGTCGCGCATCTCCGAGATGCTGTTATTATGAAGGTCGAGGTTCTTGAGCGCCGGAAATGTGGATGCTAGGTACGTGACCATAGACACATCCTTGAGCTTGTTGTTTGCCAATGACACGGAGACGACACCGTCTTCTTTGGCTTTGGCTGTTGTGAAGACGTCGTCGCATATCTTCATTAAGACCTGGAATGTTTTGGGTGTGATCTCCATCACACCAATCTTGTTCAGGTCTGGATCAGACCCTAAGCTGCTAAGATCCAGCACTTTATTGTCCACACTGTAGCGTCTGGCCAGCACGCCCTTGAAAATTTGTCGAACTTGAGACGCGTCTCCGAGATCTGGGCCAGAGTTGTTGCTTTTGTTGAAGGAAAATGAGGAGCGACCACCAGCCTGAGCATCGGCGAGGGTGATCTTGAGATTTGCTCCAGCGAATTCGTAGCCATTGATGCTCAAGAACGAGCGCACATCGTCTGAGCTGATGTTTATGATAAGGGTGTCGCCGTCGACGGTGGTCTATACGCCCGATTAGTATCTGACTGTTTACCTTGTACTTTTCCCAATGTTCGCTGCGCCTAGCCGGAGCCAGCTCCATAACCCGAGGACATCCCCGTCTTCCAGGCGACATGTTCGACTTTTGATCTCATATATATGTTGACGGCCTTGCAGAAGCCGGCGCCGTGGTAGATCGTTGTTTGATGCGCTGAAGAGTCATTGTGCCTTCAGATGGTAGTCGGTCGCATATGGTTTTAAGGGCGGTACGATCGAGCGCAGCAAGCATAAAAGGAGAGGACATCCTCAACTCTTCACCCCAGGGTAAGACGAACCTTGCGTATCCGTACGGCATGCTGCTTTGTAATTCCTTTGCCCTTATTGTGTTTCTTGCTGGATATGCCAGCACGTCGCTCCAAGAAGGAGGTGAGGGCCGACACGCCTCCGTCGTTGTTGGATGCAGCCTTGGAACTCCGCCAACCTGTTACATGGAGCTGAACGGAAGAAGATGTGGGTGCGGAGGCGGGTCGAGCATCTCGCATTGCTACCTCTCGAGTCTTGGACAGAATGTCCTTTTTTGCATCTCGGTTGCGGTTGTTCGCAGGTCCCTTAGCAGGTCCTCGCTGCGGCCGTCTGTTGGTAGGAACAGCCATGGCAGACGACGCCAACAGTAGGCAGACCTGATCAAAGCGAGTGTTTTCAGGTTGGTGATTGTGCTTGTGTTCGTGTTGGTAGAGGTTGTGGTGAAAACGACTGGGTACGCAAAGGCGAGAGCGAGCAGGCAACAGGCGCTGTTGTGATTTCGAACGGGGATGCGCCTGCGAATACGCCTGCGCTTGTTCTGTGATTGCTTGTGGAACGGTTGAGATAGTAGACTTAGTAATGAGTGGTAATGCGGGCGGGTTGTAGTTGAAGAAGTGAAGGGTTCATGGAGCCGCAAGCAGAAAGTAAATAGCCAGGGCGAGGCTTTGTACGGGCGAAAAAAGAGGCTGCGTCAATGGCTCACTCGACTTGGCTGCACCCAAACAAATCCGAGCAGGCAGGCAGCAGGCAGTCAGGCACCGAAGCAGGTACGGCCAGGCAAGCAGACAGTCGGCAGGCAGAAACGACCAGCCACCAGCCACATCTTGGATCTCGAGCACTGCTGATTACCACCAAGAAAGTGCGGCTTCATATTTGGGCAGGTTATAATTTATTTCCGTACAAGTTTGCCTCGACGAAGTTCGTCTCTTCATTCGGAACACCTTCACATTCTGATCATGAGACTGCGGCCGCAGATCACACCAGGAGGTATCCTCCGTTCGTAGCTACAACCTCGCCAGTCAGAAACCCGTCTTTCATGCAGTATACTAAGCATTCATTGTCAGCATTTAGCTCGTTGGACTCAATAACACTGCTGGGGAAAGATGGAGCAAACTCACAATATGCCTCGGCCGTGTCCTCAGGCCTACCCAGGCGCTTGACCAACGTCTTCTGCTGATACATCTCCTCCGCCTGCTTCGACAGACCCGAAAACAGCTCCGTCTTGATCGCTCCCGGTGACACGCAATTGAACCGCACAGGAGCAAGATCTACGGCGGCTCCAGCAGTAAACGCCTCCGTTGCTCCCCCAGACGCTGCTAGCACTCCCCAATTCGGGCCGGGTTTTGCAGCGTTCACCCCAGACGTGATAGTGATGCTGCTGTCTGCTGACTTCTCCACGTACTGCGGAGCCATTTTTGCGATGTACATGGACGTCATCAGTCGGACTGTGAGTCGCTGGTGGAACTTCTCCGCCGTCAGCTCGGATATGGGCACGAGCTGAAGAGCATCGCCTGCTGTGTGAACAATATGGTCAAGTTTTGTTTTTCCCCCGTCTGTGACCGCGTCAAACAGCCCCTTGATGTTGGCTTCCTGGTTCGCGGCGTCAGCCAGGTTGCAAGCATGAATGTGAACTCTCTCTTTGGGCAATTCGGGATATGCAGTTGTCAGTCGCTCCACCGTCTTCTCAAGCTTGGGCGTATTTGATCCAGAGATGAAGACCGTAGCTCCGTGCTCGAGGACCGCCTCAACTACGCCGAAGCCGATACCCGAGGTGCCGCCGAAGACTAGGATACGCTTTCCTTGAAGTTTGTTGATATACTTGTATGGCATGATGGTGCTAATTGCTGACTGCTGTTCACGGGTTACGGTCTGTCAGTGATGAATTTAAACGAATAAACACTTTCTTATTGTCGGGCAATCCTAATGCATTTCGAGAATGCAGCATGTTTCTATATAGGCGTGCCCCTTCATGGGGCGGAGTTAACGGTCGTATCGTGTTCATCTCTCCCATGACAAACATTCCAAAGGTTCTCTGACCATCAGTTTCGTTAGTTCTACTCTACAGCTCCACACAGGAGTTAAGGCTACAGTCCGACCAATAAGATGTGTTCTCTTCGGTGACCCGGCACATTACTTGGACCTGACGATACTTCTCGCCAAGCATCGGTGCTCAAAGTCCCTCCGAGCCAATCAAAACTTGCTCAACTGTCCCTAGCGCCACGGATGTTGATCAACAATTCTGAGCTGGCACAGCTGTGGACGACGATTCTAATCAAAGGTAACATGAAAACCGCGGCCTGTTATGACTTCGATGGCCCAATTCTGTTGTTCAGACACGCTTCCCACTCGAGATTCCAGTATGTGAGATTAGACACAGGTGAAAATCTGCACACTATCGGAGTCGAGCTACTGCACAATTTCCGATGCAATTTAATATCTACAGTCTAATGATTGGTATATCATGCTGCCTATCTTGTTCCACCTTGGCCAACATACCCTCCAGAACTCTCAAGCCGTTTCAATGGAGTCAAAAGACCCACGTCTCAACATGTCTTGTAACGCAACGTCGCTCTCCAATTTCTTATACCCTTGTCCTTTATGCCTTCTCACCGCGCACACGACCCCAAATGTCACGGTTAACAAGAATCCGAGCAAAAGAGCTCCGGACACCCAGACTCTCCAGCCTCTCAGACAGCACGGGTACCAGGACATGTAGATACGCACTGCCCATTCCATCCAACTCTCTATGTGAGGATGGTCGGGAGAGAGTCCTTTCCGGACGAGCTGCTTAGAAAGTGGACCTGTAGGCCCAGTCTGGAATCGCTTTATCTTGAAATAGGGAACTGTCATTTGTCGAGGGTCACTGTCTGGGTATTGCTTGTCGCCCCACCGTCCATTATAGTGTAAGAATGACGTGAAATTCGAATCTGTGTCTGTTTCGCTTGGTAGAAATCGTCTGGTCAGCTTGAAGCTGTCGGGGTCAAGGTGGAAAAAGTAGGCAGACTGCACAGGATCCCAGCGCGGACCAGCGTCGCAGTAATCTATTAGTACGCTATCATGCACGTGTTTTCTGCTATAGAGTCAGCCTCCGGCGAACCCAGTGTTGCAGTTTTGAATTGTCAATTACCCCGTTCTTGCGTAATTAGCATGCGAACCCAAAGCGCTATAGACTACAGGCTGCGGACAAAGTCAATGATACCATGCTTGAGAAGAAGTGCAATCGACGTGGCGCACCCTATTGTCGACCTTCTCGACCTCCTTGCTCTCCCAGTCGTAGACCTTTCCGCTGGTATGCTGACTGTAGTAGATGCCCACAGGCATGCCATCCCTAAAGCGGATCATATTGTTCTCCCAATCGCCAACATGGTCCCCGAAATGCATCTTCTTCTCCTCGTCGGTCAAGTCGAAGAGCGAATCGATAGGCTCGAGAACCTGCGTGATGTTGCTGCCGCGGTCGTATGAATAAAAGTAGAAATAAAACACGTCGACGTCCCGAGGGCCTTTCTCAACCAGAATTACGCAGCAAGCAGTTGACCGGTGTAACTTCCCGTCGGCATCAGGCACTTCGCCCATGATCCACTCCGGCATAAGCGTGACATCGTCAGCTGAAGTGAGCGACACCTCATGACCGAATTGGTTAAGAATCTCAAGATTATCCAGTCCTAGTTCCGGTAGGCCGAAAAGTGGCTCGAAGTCCAGAGCTGGAGTCGTATGCCGTATGTGCTGGAGAACATCGCTCGGCCTGAACGGGTCTTCGGAATGCAACCATATCAAAGGTGCTAACATAGGTCATATTTAGCAAAAAGCTTGATTTCGGTTGCAAATGGTACCTTACCATATTTGAGCGCAAAATCGGGCACTTTGTCGTCCAAACTTGGGTTGGCTTCCACGGTTTGTAGCGCGAGAAATGTTCCCATGGATATCAAGGTCACCGCAATCCAAGACACGCCATTTGCCATCAGTCAAGCTCTAGCTATATCGAATGGAATTTTTCTATGTTTTTATAAAACAGACAACGCATCCCATGCCCTTTTTGCTGAATGATCATGAAACTTGGCTAAAATGTAAAGCACTGTAATTCTATCGCGGAATCATCGGCAACCTAAAGCGACGCACAGACTTCACCCTAATGAATTGCCAGTTCAACTTTCGCAATTAGAGCTCAAAATGCGTGATACACATAAGGCCTTACTGTTCAGATTTTCTTACTTGGTTCTCAGCTACTGGAATATTTCTGTGATTATAAACTATCAACCCTTTCCATTTTTGACGCCTATGTATGCCCCGGCGCCATCTCTAATGGCTGCATCGTTCTTTCGTTATTGCAAATGCTGATCATGAACATCCGCCATTGTCCACACAAGTGTTTAAGCAACGCTGCCAATGATCAACGGTGCGACGCCCTCCTCCTCTGATCTGCACTTAATCTGCACGGTAACCCCAGTCTTTGCGGAGTAAGCCATTCGAACCATGGCAGCCACCTTGCCGCCAGTAACGGTCTTGCCATAGAGCTTGAGTGTGTGCGTGCTTGTATTCATTGGAATATCGGTGCCCTCGAGTGGTTGTAGAGATAAAGCCTTGGCTAGTTGTTCAACTGCCTCTGTTTGCTTGTTAGGATAATTAACGTAGTGACCTTGGAATTTGAAACTTGCCTGCTATGCTCTTCATGTTGCTCAGCTGGAGCGTTTCTGAAGCCTCCTCACCATTCGATTGTTCCCACACGTTCTCGAACGAACCAGCATATGCGGGGACAACGTAATCTGCGCCTGTGAGATCTAGGTCTTCCACCTGATACTCATCCTCGTAACCCGCCTCTTCTGGCTCATTAGTCGTTGGATCGATTTCCTTGCTTGTAAACTTGAGTATATTCGAGAATGTTGAAGCGGCGAACGCAGTTCCAGTCTTCTTGAATGCCACGTACACAACACCAGGCTCATTCGTCTTCAAGGCGGCAGCTGGGATGATGAAATCCTCTTCAAAGGCAGATTCCTCTTCATCTACTGGCGTTGAGACAACGGTAACATCTGTAAGTACCGTGGCATCCAAAGTATTCTTGATATCGAATTGTAGGACAACTGCCTCTTTGAAAATGTGCTTGACAACCGAGACAACATACTCCGTTTCCGATTCTGTGAGTTCGACTGGCAAGCTTGATTTGAGCAAATTGCCGTATGCCGCAATTTCCGGAATGCGCTGCAGCTCTTCGGCATATTTTTGTTGTGCTGCATTGGCAGCAGCGGCGCTCTGCTCGGCACTTGGTTTCGAGCTTTTAGGTCCAGCAGAAGGTGCCTTAAGCGTAGGAGTAGCCGCGGTAAGTTTCTTCGTCCTCTCCTCAGCATCCGCTTGATCCCTACTGACGACAGGGACTTTGCTCAAGTCGAAAGGCTGCTTGAAGGTTTCGGGATCAGCTGTGACGTACATGACCAGTTGATGCTCAAGCACTGGTAAGGAGAACATGGAATCATTCCTCAAAAAGCGCTTGGCCATCTCTTGATCCTCAGAGTCGGCAATCAATCTTAAGTTCAGTGCAGCTCTATCTCGGCATTCGTCATCAGTGTCTCCGAGACAGCGGGTGAGCAAAACCCGAATGCTTTCTCGAAGCTCAGGATTGCTGAGGCCGAACTTTCCGAGAGCTTGAACCGCTGCAGCTCGCACGACTGCATTCTCAAGACTTATGCGGTTGTAAATGGTCCTGATGAACTTGGATGGGGAGTCAGAAAGAGGCCCTTCCTGACCAAGGAGGTGGAGGATTCTTGTTGCAAGCTTAGAGTACTCGCAATCTTCGATGTACTCGCTGAGAATTGCCAAACAATCTTTTTTCGACTCGGGAATGAATTTTATCAAATCGAAAAGCGCCTCGACTATCGCGCGTTTGTATTCAAAACCACCTTCCTCACGGAGCGAAGTTCCTAGGAAGGTTGCCATTGCAGCTTGCTTCGCTGGGTATTTCAGTGCGAGAGTGCGGATAGCTTCGACGACAGTGACTAGAGGTTTATTAATATAAAAAAAATATAAACGTCCAAATAAATTATCACGTACCCTTTAGAGAATCTTCAGTCTCGCTCAACAGGCTTGTCACCTGCTTGAGGAGTCTATCTAAAGAGCTTTCTGTGCCAGTTCGCAACAAAGTTGTAATTGCGAATGTCGCGATAGAACGATTCGAGCTTGCTACGCACGGTAAGCTACATAATCTAGTGGATCAGAGCCTCATTCTCCTTACTTATTAGGCTTTCAATATCCTGGTTAGCTGCCCTGACCGCCTCCGGCTTGAATTGCGCACTTGTAATCTGATTAGCATAATGAAAGCCCATTGCATTGAGCCACATACAAGGTATTGAGAAGTCTGATTGCGCTAAATTTGGTTACGTTGCGGGGTGATGTCAGGAACAACTGAAGGACGTGGATAACGTTTTGTGCCTGCGCATCTGGTAGATCCGGGAAGTTTATCAACGCTTTCGCTGCCTCGAAGTTCACCATTTCACTCCTGAATCAACTATTAATGAGACTCAAACATCTGCAGTCGACATGCTTACTTGTGTCTGAGAAAACTGTCAAGTAGAGTCATCATCGGCGTCTTCATGGATGGTTCGTCGTTTGCGAGTTTGGCTGCAAGTCGAACAAGGATCACAGTTGCAGGAGCTGACTTGATCGCGCCGGGTTGCGAGTATTGCTGAAGCATTTTGACTGCATGTCCATTAGTGTACGAACATACTAATTGGAACATTCAATTCCTACCAAGAGCCATTCGATCCGTCCTTCTCAGCTCGTAAAGGAGACCAATGGCGAGGTACTGGGCCTGATAGCTCGATTGAGGTGGTACCATAGCCGAGCTTCCTCCAAAGCTGAACATTCCCCCAGTACTTTTCCCGCCCTCGATAGCGCTAAGATGGACTCAGTGACCACTCACTCATGTCAAAATGTCGCAAAATTACCTGGCAATTTCATTTGTCCATCTTCGAACAAGATCCTTCGCAATTGGAAGCAGATGGTAGCTGGATGCCAGGGCGGCGGTCGACACACCTATGATAGACTTTTGTCAGGTTTGAAATATAATTTTTATGCCGAGAGATGTAAGTACTTGGGTTTTTGTCAACTAAAGCTGTCTTTAGAGGTCTTTCAATAGCTTGGGCAGTCGAGCCATCAATAACCCGAATAATGGCACGAACAGCATTGGCGCGGTATATTACGTCACTGCTTACGGCCATATCCTTCATAATACTAGATGTGATCATGATGATATCTTCGGCAGATCGTGTCAACTCCTTTAGGACCACCTATTGACATTGTGAGTAACATCACGTAAAAGTCCTCTCGCGCATTTTATTTCATGCTTTGCGGTGGAGCCTGCAGTACAAATGGGATAGATGAGAATATCCGGAGCGGGAATACGATGGTTCTTCTTCCTAGTAAGTGGACTTACATAAGACATTTGCCTATAAACAGATTGTTAGAGTGACTATGTCGGTATGACTTTCCAACGTACCTTAAGCTTGGATCCTTGCTTTTAAGCTCCCAAGTTAGTTATTCTATCCGTATAGTGGTACACGCCTTTGCTCGTATTGCATCTAAATGCTCACCTAGAGAAGAGCTTCGATATACCTGTTAAGTATTAGCTATTGGCATCATCGTCATCTGAGAAGTATATGTTGGAACTGATTCTTCACCCACCACCCTGTGAGCTCAGGGTGCTATGCCAGGGTCCTCCATCGAGATATGTACGTGGAGTCCTTCTCCCAAATACAATTTACAAAGGTCTTCTATGTGTAAGGGTAGTACTCTAAGCATAAATTTAGTATCAGCCCCCGTTGTATATATGCTCGTTACGCACTGCCGAAGAATAAATTGGTGGCTTCGTTGGAGTTGTAAACTTCTCCCTGCATGAGGAGGAGCGAGAGTTTCGTGAGAAGGACTCTACAGCGTCTTGGGCTCACGGGGCTGGTATTCTGTTGCCATGTCAGTGCAGCTCTTGTCCGACAACCACCAGTTTCCACATACAAAAATCCGTGCCTCTTGCAACACCTGCATACGGTCCATTTTGACCGCCCCAAGATCCTCATCTTTCTTCTCCATATCGCAAGGTGTACCAATTCCGTGATATAGGTGGATGGTATACGTATTCGGGGGAGGGAGGGGTCGCCAGCATACGACGAAGAAATAAGGAATTGCACCGTCGCCGTTCGAAGGTCGGCTTGTTGCGTCCCTTTAGCTGCGAGAACGGTAGCACTGCGCTCGTTGTCGCAAAGGGAATGTCGTTGTAGATTTGACCACGATTGAGCAAGCATTATTCTGGATTAAGGCCATGGTGGTATGAATATGCACGAGCCACATTCGCAGGTGTGGCGCATGCACCCATACCCAATTGGGAGCATTACGAAGTTTCAATATGGTAGCCTCTAAGTTGAGTTACAGCTTGCACACAGTCTACCATCAATTCATCGAATTGGCAACTTGTCGGCCACAGTGAATGAGTTGACCCGCGTGCGTTTGCGTAGGTTTAAAAATGAACATGGCCGACGTCCCCATCCAAGTTGACGTGAACCCGAATGAGGACACAGAATGGTGAGTGACAGACGAAAGGGTCTGAAGATCATTTGTTCACCTTCAATGCAGGAATGACATTCTACGGAAACATGGCATATTACCGGAGAAGCCTCCATCTCCAACGCCGATGATAGAGGAAGCTCTCCAGGAAGCGCGACGCTTAGCTCACGAAAATCGTCTCGAAGGAAAAGACCTTGATGAGCTTGCCGAGCTTGAAGATGAAGAAGATGAAGATTTCCTCGAGTCTTATCGGTATGATTTAAAATCAGATAACCTGAACCCCAAGATCTCACTGATGACCAGGAAAAAGCGAATGGCTGAGCTCTCGACATTAAGTAGCAAGTCCATCTATAACCAAGTATATCCTCTACAGAAAGTAGATTGGTCGCGTGAAGTCACGGACGAGTCGCACAAAGCCTTTGTGCTAGTTCTTTTGACATCATCGCATGGGACGAACACCGAATCCCATCTTATGATTGAGATATGGCGTGAGCTGGCACGAAGGTTTGGCGATATTAAATTTTGTCAAATTCGAGGTGATTTGTGTATCGACGGCTATCCAGATAGAAACACACCTACCATACTTATTTACAAAGATGGGGACATCAAGAAGCAGATCGTCACGTTACGTGAGCTCAGAGGTTCACAGACCACTTCTCGAGGTGAGCATCTTTTTTCCTTCTCCCTATACCGTGCATGGATCACCACAAAGCTAAGTTATCGTGACATAAGTCGCTAACAAGGGTCTTAGATATTGAGAATATATTAATCGATAGTGGAGCACTCAAAATAGGTGACCATCGATTGCATAAGCTTGACGATGACGCAGCACCTATACGCCAAACAGGACAAAGTGCTTCCGCCAAGGACGGAGACGAAGACAGCGATTGGGACTAAGACCTGGGAGGATGAAGTCTTCTTGAGAAGTTGAAGCTCGACATTCGATTCCAATTTCGACGAGATTTATGCCTAAATCTGCGTAGATCCCGGACTTGACGTGCGTTCTCATTGATTGCAGCGATTGATGAGGAAGCGAGACGTGTCTGTGGCGACAATCTTGCTGCATGCTCTGATGTAAACCGCGAGCTTTCATTACCAATGGTAGAGACGTGATTTGACCTAAAACTAGTTCGAAAACTAGAATAGGATCCAACCTTTGTCGGACTTTTTCTCTAAGCGCTCTATTGCACCAGCTATTCCGCAACGATAGGCGTGGATAGTCCTTGGTAGCAAAGGGCCAGCTGGGCTATGTGAATTCACGCCATTCCGAGATCTGTAGTAGAATAAATGCACAGCGCATGGTCACATGTTGCCTCTTCGCTTGGTGCTTATTCAAGGCATGACGAATCCGCAAGGTCTTGGCAGACGCATCCAAGCTTTTTCCAAGATCTCAACGTGCATCACCTCTGTCCGTCATCTCGAATCTTCAAAAGATACACATTATGTGCTTTCAAAATGCTTCTATGTCTACTTCACTCGTCCCGCAGCTTATGACGCTCTGTTGCTTGCTTGTCTCTGTTCCTTACATATGATCATATCGTGTCAGATAAAGGACGGTTTCGGAAGCGTTTTGTTATTTGTATGTCCGTGCTGTATTCGCCTCGAGACGAAGTAATTCTATCTTGAGTTGCGAGATGCCATTGTTTTCGTCAGGCCCCCTCAATCATGCGGTATGTGTGTATCGTTGACATGCACTGAAATTTGTTCACCGTCTCACTAGCCTCATCGTAATGCCATTCTATAAACATTATTGATATGTGTAACACGCCCTCTATGAGTTGAATCTGGACTGCCAAAGAAAATGCAAGTACGCCAGTGCGCTTCCAGAAGATATTTTTGGCTTTGTGACAGGATTGCTGCGCTGTGGCACTGTAGACAAATCTAGAGAAGTTGTCGCTCAAGCCGTCTTATATTCGATTTGAATCGAGAGTTGTGGTAATTGGGCAAGCGAGAAACCACCAGAGCCCTTGGATTCGATACGATCGTCGGTCGCTCAAAAACAAAGTAGTTAAACAGTCGGTGTGAACCCAAACCACAGTTTGCTGGTTTCCAACGTCTCTTCTGCATAAGCGATTGTAAGCCAAACTGGATGCCACCTCTTCATTCGCAAGCCTGATCTTCATCTGCATGAGCGGAACAAAACCCTAGAGGACATGCAAGTATAGGATCATACGTTTCAAAGCTAAGCAAAGGCATGTCCCACATGCGACGTTTACTCCGGATCTGTATGGCTCTAAACGAGAGCATCGGCGCTTTCCAGAAGCTGTTTTGACGTCATTACTTGAAGCATGGCTTAAGAGAATGGATGATATCGCCACACATTGCGTGAATATTTTCGGGCCATCTTTGGACGACACAAGCTCGTACGCTGTACCAAGCATGCAGCTCCCGCTGACACACAGAGGGATCGAAAGCTTTGGCAGCAAAAGGTCACGGATGAGCCTCAATTCGTCACCGCTTATTAAGAAAAATCCGAGTTGAGCACTGGAAGAACTCGTGTGATGACGAGTAGGGCATGGGCGGTAATCAGATTCGATTTGAGATTCAGCCGTGCTTCAAAGTGAGGTGCAACCACGTGCGTTGCAGTGGCCGTTTGGCCACGCGAGGTTTCGTTGGACCATCGACGGACGGAGACTCCATATCGCACGCGGCTAGACCCATCCCCTGTGTCCGCACATATGACCTGCGATCCGGTGCGACGGAATGTTCAAGCCAAGCATATCATCGCGGGTTAGCGAGATTGAAGAGGTCGTTCTTCGACGGGGCACGAGCGGGTGGACGGCGCCAAAGAGTTAGCACGATCCCAATGCACGGGAGAATCTCATGAGCGCAACACGGCAGAAGCAAGCGAATGTTGGCGCGGCCCTTTTCAAGACGCCAAAACAATAGACATTCATACGTCGGAGACATCTACGCTGGAACGTGCCGCCCTTTCTCTGGCTTTGTGCCTGGGAAGACAGAACTCGCCAGCGACGTCGAAGACGAAAAGCCAGCGTTTTATATGGGCTGCCAGTCCGGCGTATGAAAAGGTCGCTCTGGGGACTAGTGCTTACGCATCCCGACAGGCTTGACACTACAGTACCTCATTCGCAGCGCCACGCCGGGGCTCTGCCGTAACGGGTCGCAGAAGAGCGCTGCGGAGCGTGATGGTGACGAGGCAAGATCCAAGGGAGAGGCCCGGGCCAGCCACGGTGGTTAATTAAGGAACGTCGTCGACTCAACGCATCTGAAGCGGGACGAAAACAATCCAAGTCAAGCTCGGCAGGAGGGCGTCGGTGCCGAAGCTGCTTCTTGAAGCTCCAGCACTTCGTCGTTAGGTGGCCGCCCAATGGGTGCGCAGGCCCAGTTCAAGGGGGCTCTTCTAGCGCCCAGCCGGCTCCAGGCGTGCGCCTGTAGGGCAGGCCGATCCTTCGCACTCCACTCCGGCACCGGCAATCATCGTCTGCCCACGCTGACCCAAAGTTATTCCTTGTCTGCTGGCTTGCCTGCGGAAAGGAAGGCTTCGCAGGACCGACAATCAGCAGCCTCTGCATGCACAGAAGACTTAGGCCTCTCTGCAGCATTGTCTAAAAGGAGACACTCGGGCCACGGCGTTCAATCTTCATCCAAACCCTGTCCGTTCTAGTTGCTCCTTAGCACCCTGGCCCAGATGCTACAGCGCACTCCAACTCTGCTGGACTACCACTGCGCCTAGCCTTAATATCAGTCTGCTTTGCCGCGCCGTGTGAACTCGAACAACTTCCATCTCGCGGCCCGCGAGCTTTGTCACTCACTCGGCAACACGATTTGGCTTTCTGCAACACGTCGATCGTCATGGACTACACACAGTTCTTCGCCCAGACGCCCCAACCCTTCTTCGGCTTCATGGCAACTGCATCGACGTACAGCGGCGAATCTGATAAGATCGGCCCCACGGTCAGTTTCTTGCGTTGAGTGACGTTGCCATTTGAAATTCTTTCGCTTGGGTGCTTTCATGAAGTTCCCCAGGTCCTCTCCTTGCACCGAGATCCCTTCCATGAAGCGTACATCTTAAAACGTCCCTCTGCTGACGGCCACGTCCGACAGGACAACGTCGACACCTCCTTCTTTGCACAGAGTGCGTTCGACAGCTTCACTTTTTCACCCCGTCTCATGTCGACAACGGCAGACATGAATCCTAGCACGGCACCTATGTCGGTCATATGTAATGTCGATAGTCGCTTCAGCACCGACGGTGTGGAATTTCCGCAAACAGATGCGAACAAGGCCGGTCCACACAGCGAAAGACGCAGTAGCAGTGAGGAGAAGGACGGTCTAACGCCTGCGCAAAACAGGCGGAAGGCTCAGAATCGTGCTGCGTGAGTCAATGCTTGGTCCATACAATCTCTCCAACGGCTGTTGGTCTAACGGGAACCACTCAGACAGCGAGCCTTTCGAGAGCGAAAGGAAAAACACGTCAAGGATCTGGAAGCGAGGCTCTCGGAGCTTGAAACGTCCGCATCCGTTCTTGCATCTGACAACCAAAGACTAAAGCTGGCCCTTCAACGAGCAACCACGGAGAACGAAATCTTACGAGCAACTTCGAGACCCAATTCAATATATGGGATTTCACATCCTCTGTCGCCGAATCCGAATGAGCAATCTGACCAAACCGACTATTCCTACAACTCCACGGGTTCAGGCCAATCTCCCGACGGTGGCGATGTACTTCTACCCGCATCAGCTACCTGGGACCTCATTCAAGGCCATCCTCTGGTCCGACAAGGCTTTGTGGACATTGCTGATGTCTGCGAGCGGTTACGAGGAGCAGCCCGATGTGATGGCTCCGGACCTGTCTTTGCCGAACGCGTGGTTAGACGAGCGATCGAAGAGAGTAAACGCGCGGGAGGGGATGAGCTAATATAGATCCCGAACTTTTGATTTGTAGTTTTGAAAAACCTGGTAGCGCTGGAAATGAACCATTTACGATTTGGCGAAGAACTGGCTACGTGGCCGACGCGGCGTTACATGGCAGACAATTGTTATACCCTAGGAACTTTTTCGTACAATCAAGCATCTGCTCGCAATGTAGCAGCACATTATGACACGTAAACCACTTGTACCTGCGTGCAGGTCCTCTTAATGTCGCTCAAATGAATGAAACGTGAGCTTCACACATGCATTTCCGCGTCTGCCGCAGTCGTTACAAGACGTAGCACCCTAGGAAACTGGCCAGCATATCTGGAGCATTGAAACGTGTGTGTCCAGCCATCGGCTAGGAAACCCTCTCTTTTCCCTTTACCCACTGAAATTACCAACGTCGAGCGAACCATCTGGGCCAGATATGTTTTGGTTTTTCAAACCCTGCGCCCGAAATTCCCAGCCTATCGTCATCCCTCCGACAGGCTACATGTGGGCAAGCTGGAAAGAGTCCCACAGAAAATTCGTGCCGGACGAATCTCCTGCCTTGCGCCTGAGTAGAAAAGAGAGAGAAAGAGAGAGAGAGAGAGAGAGAGCTCGTATCGCATCTGTGCGTAGCGCAGGAGCCCGGTATAGCTTGCAGATATCTGAGGTCCGGACATGTGAGAAGGGCGGCGTTGTCACGGCCGATTTCGAGGTCGAAGTTCGGCTCCGGTCATGAGCATGAGCGCGGCGCACGCAGAATAGATGCCAGAGTAGGGCGCTACCGCAGGTTTGTTATGATCTCGTGCATCCAATCCAATATCTACTTTGGGTGGCGTAAGCACAAACGAGCCGTGTCATGGTCGTTCCAGGCTCCTGCGGTAAAGAAGTGCACGTTTTCTCCCGGCTTACGTACGCAGGTGACCGGGATAGTCAGCACACGGACCATGTCAGAACGCGCAGTCTTGTGCATGTGGGAACGGAGCATTGACCACTTACATCTTGACGCGGGACAAAAATATCCACGTTCAAAAAGTGGGAGCTTGGACTTTTACATGGCCGTGACAAAAGCCTGGAAACTAGACAGATGTTGCAGATTTCTGCATTGCTCTTTTGCCGATAACGCTTGGACTGCTGCTTGACAGATTGGCGGCCTTAAGAATACGCTTTGAGAGACCTGGAAGAGAATGACACTTCGTATGTACGTCAAGTCTGGCCAATATCGCCATCATGCAGTTGAGAAATATGACTACTTGGCATATGAAGAAAAAAAAATCACTACGCGATACTGCAAGTATGAAGTCCAGCAGGCCCTGCACCCTTGCTATCAAATTCGCCGATCATTTCGACCAGATGCAGACAGGGGCACGGCAAATCCTGCTTAGGCGATCTATGTTTTTTCTGTGCTGTAGGCCAGACTGTAAAGAGCAATTTGGAGCTCCTCGAATGTTCCTTCTCTTCAATCCGGGAATAAGCGGAGAGCCACAAGGAGCATCCTTGAAGACCTGTGCAGTTTGACCTGCTGCTCTTCATTTCGTCGTCTGTGATTTGGATAGAGCACATTGACTCGCTGTCGGGATTATCACACGCGGTAGAAACCGCATGACGGAATAATTTTTTAGAAAATTGAAGGCATGTGTCGGCTTGATTCGGTACATGTATCCCCGAAAACACAAGTCGACGAAGACGTTGTTACAATGATGTGCAGGCTATGAAAGAACGAGCATGTGTACGTTAGAATCAAGGAATGGCTAAAACTGCCGGATCCGAACCACTCCGTCCCATGCAACGGTCGGAGGCCTAAACGCTTGAGGATTCAAGTGAAGCCACGTCAAGCTCATTTGGCTTCGATGACGGTTCGTCTTCTATCTTCGTTCCCGCTCTTTTCTTGAGCACGTTTTCGATAAACGCTTCGCCGGCTTTGTACGACGAACGCACAAGCGGACCACTTGCACAGTATAAGAAACCCATTTCAAGAGCTCTAACCCGCCATTGTTCAAACGCATCGGGAGTGATGTATTCCTCAACTTTCATATGTCGTTTCGTTGGTCGCATGTACTGACCGAAGGTGACAACGTCGACATCGACTTTTCGCAATTCTGTGGCAAGAATTAGCACGGATCAAGAATTGAATAGACGACAGCCGAGAGTTTACCTCGTAGCGCATCAAAAACTTGCTCTTCTTTCTCGCCCAGTCCCAGCATGATACTAGTCTTCGTGATGAGCTCTGGTTTAGCTAGTTTTGCGGCTCGAAGAACGCTCAGGCTTTGCCTGAATGTCGCCCTTCTATCCCGAACCATTGGGGTCAGTGCCTCGACCGTCTCTATGTTGTGCGCGTACACATCTAGGCCACTCTGGGCAACCAGTTTGACCATCTCCAGATCCCCAGCATAATCTCCAGTGAGTGCCTCAACAAGTATTGAAGGAGCTTTTTGCTTGATCTTCCTGATCGTCTCCGCGAAGTGGTGAGCTCCACCGTCAGGGAGATCATCACGGTCTACAGAGGTCAACACGACGTAGCCAAGTCCCCATCTCCTTAGCGCCTCGGCCGTGTGTTCGGGTTCGTGCGGATCAAGAGGCGCAGGTGTCTTCGAAGTCTTGACTGAGCAGAAACGGCAACCTCGCGTACAAGTATCGCCCATTAGCATGATTGTGGCAGTAGCCGCGGCCTTGGACGAGCCGCCCCAACAATCTGATATGTTTGGACATCTCGCCTCCTCGCAAACCGTGTGTAAGTTGAGGCCTCTGAGATCTTGCTTGATTTTTTTGTAATTGTTGGAGCTTGGAATCGGCGTCTTGAGCCATTCGGGCAGTCTTGTAATCTGCTTCTTCCTTCCTGCTGGCCCTACCATAGCTGTTCGGAGTTCAAGTGCGTCTTCTCTGGACATCGTTTCTTTGCCACCAGTAAAGTCTGCAAATGATGGACCCGCATTTAGTCGGTCGCTGAAAGATGTAGATCTACGCTTCCGCTGTACTGAGGATGGCTCGTCATTCGCAGATGTGGTTGCATACATTCTAATGGCTACTCCGGGAACATTGACACGGGTTGCTGCGACCATCCGACATGAGGCACAACGCCATCCATTCAAAGCGGTGGCCATTTCAGTCAATTTGGGGGTAATATGGAGGATGAGGTAGAAGAACAAGCTGACGGTCCGCAGATTTGAGAAGCAGGTACCGCGAGTTGGCTGTTGTCGCGATGTTGAGAGAAATTGTGTCACAGGCCTCCTAAAGAGACCATGTATTGGTCATCGGTCAGCCCTACGCGGCTCGATGCGGTAAGGACCGGATGAGAGCCGCAACATTGGGTTTTCTTGGCTACAGGAGAAAACACAAGATCGAAATTACAAGACCGGAACTCTACATGATAGCTTTCTACCATCCACGAGCTAAGCGCCTACAACTCCTGCGGTGGACAACGGACTGTTTCGTGGAAAAGGGGCTTGCAGGTAGGCCGTCAACAGTCAAGACGTCTTTACAGTTTGTTTGCCCGAGTCGGGTCAAAAGAGATCATACTTGGAACAAGCATATGAAATCATGTCTTCTATCGAGGTCGAAAAGGCGACAAGTCTCTTGTCGGAGTATCTTGGCAAGACCTTGCGTGTCCATACTGATGATAAACGCATATTCGTAGGCCAGATGAAGTGCACAGACCGAGTGGGTTTCAGACTTTTTCCACTGCAACTCTGGATTATGTTGACTAAGCTTCAGGAATGCAATATCATACTAGGTCTTACGCAGGAGTATCGTCCTCCAGCTGAAGACCTGGTGAGAGATGCGGCTGTAAGAGCAGGTGGCACCCCTCTGCATATGTCCTACTCGCACCGCTTCGTCGGCTTGGTTGTGGTGCCGGGCAGGCATATTACCAAGATTGAGCTAGAAGAGCACATTACGACATGAGATCGGAACAATCATTGGCAGGGACTCCTCGTGCTATACTTTGCTGCAAGACGCGGTTCGTGGAATGCACCGGAGGCTTCAAACACCAGTCAGCGGCTACGCCTACGCATTTCGCATCCGACGATCATTCAAGTTCAACTTCACGACTCCAGCGCTGCTGAAAAGCCTTGCGGGGGGACACTGGATCACATGAATATCGGAACTTCGGAGGCTGGGATCTCGGTACGTTACACGCATTTCCCGAGCATGCCTTGTTCCAGCGGAATAAAATCGTTGCGACATTGAACGCAGGTACCCGCGATGCTGTTCATAATGAGAGGCTCCCGCTGAGGATCAAAATCGATCATCGCAGACTACCAATATCGCAAGTGCTACGCTCCAGATCCTTGCGTTTTCACAACGGGTCAAATGCTAGCTACTGTGCAAGAGTCTATGTCAGTGCGGAAACAAGAGCCGAATTACCCAGCAGGACCTGGAACAAAGGGGGGAGAAGGTGTATCGGCCCTGAATGGAAGCGTGTACGGCTAGCTCCTGCAACTAAATTTCACAAGGTTGTCAGACGTGCGCGCACTCGAATGCCGGGTCTGGAGTGGCCGAGCAGATGGGTTGCTCGTTGTCGTAGCATGTTTTCTTCACTCATGCCTCCAGCATCCTTTAGCGCCGCAGTTTGGTTGTCAGCCGCTGGTCCAGCATGCCAAGCACGGCACATTCGCGTGGCACTAACTATATCTAGTTAGTGCGCGCACCAGCCACCGCCGGTGCCACCGATCGTGATTGACGGCTTTGACGTCAGACGTAGCGCGGGAAACCATTCAAAACTTGGATATTTGCCCCAGTGTTACAGCTATGCAACGTGGCCGTGTGGAGTAGAATGACGGGACGAAAACGTGGGAATTGCTGATCGCGCATTAACAAGCCACAACTTTGCTCTTGTTGCTCAACTACTCTTTCCCTCCACGCTTCTTACAAATTGGGTATTTCAGCCTCTTGGGATTACTAGCAATGTACCACAAGCAGATTGTGTACATTTGCCAGCAGAATCCCCCGCATTGCGATCCACCCAAGACATGCAATGCCTGTCCAACATGGTCCAGCTATTACGTGCTCCTGGGGGGGTTGATCGACATAAACCGCAGATACAACATTCCGAACCCACAAGGATCCTTGCGAGTGCCAACTTTTGTTGGCCGCCTTTCACACCAATCATAGCAGTAGTCTGACAGGCTCCCGTCTTGAAGGCGCGGCAGAGGTATCTTTTGTGAGAGCTCTCATCGAAAGAGAACTTCTGGGTTTTTGCCCCACCTTGTTTTGCGCAGGGCACTTTGATTTGACCGGAGCCTTATTTCTTGCAAGGGATCAGGGTATCTTGTGCAGCCTCCTGATAAATCTCCACCAAGGATTCAGCCACAGTTACCACATTTTCAGCCTGGTGTGACGCAATATCTCGATCTCAATCGAGAGTAAAACTTGATTCTCCAGTCATGTACGGTTGGCAGCCGTCTCTCGATGCATACACCCCAGAACGAGGCGCGAGCTGTACCATGCTCTATATATGCAACCTTGCTGAGGCGACGTCATCTTGACTCTTGCGGTTATCTGAGGTCGATAGAAAAGAGATCCTGTCGCGCGGAATTTTTGAAAAGATCGCTTTTCGCATAATTCTCTTTTGCTACTCCATGTCCTCAAATCCACGACAGGACAGCATTTTATGAGTAGTTCATATGCGTACTACAGCTTTCCACCAACTCCTACAAGATCATCGCCTGCGAGCGTAAGAACAAAAAGACCACTATCGCCGGACTCTACCAAATCGGCAAGCATGGCACCTTCTCCAGCTGCAGGTAAAGGTGTCCCGAAGACGCCAACAAAACTTGCCAAGAAACCACAGGAAGCCGCTTCAGGCACAGCAGAAAAGGCGCAAGAAGCTGTCTCAGATGTGAGTCCGTTTTTAGCCACGATGTCTTCTCTCTGTAGCTTCCAGAAACGAATTTAAATGCTAATTTAATTAGGTTGAAAAGAAGGCACAAGATCTGCCCAAAGAGGCTAGCAAGGTCGAAATGAAGGATTCAAGTGAAGCGGGCGACACTATCTCGGAAGCGGGAGGAAAGGTATCCCAAGCTGGTGGAGAGCTTCAGGAACAGGAGCCGAAACCAGTGTCTGACGAATCTTCAGAGGATGTTGCCTCAGATACACAGAAAGACCTTGAAGACACTGCTGACGACATTACCGAGAAGGCAGGAGACATGGGTGAGGAGACCGAAGCTACAGAGGAAACCGAAGAAACAGAGAATGAGCCCGCTGAGGACGCAAAGAAAACAGGCGGTGGCGTCATGGATACCGCTAAAGGTCTTGCTGGCAAGGGCGCTAATCTTGCGGGCAAGCTCGGTCAAGCTGACCTGGAAGGTCTAACCAGCAGCGCTAAAGATACAGCTGGTGAAGCTGCGGAAGGAGTACAACAAACAGCCCAGGATCTCCCAGAGACAGCTATTGAGGGCGTTCAGGGACTTAAGCAAACCGCTGATGGATTGGTCCCAGATTTGTCCATTCTTAAAGGCTTAGAAGTCGACGCTGAAGGTCTAGTGCATGATAAGGACGGAAAAGCTATCGGCCGACTTGTAGAAGGAGACGCTGAAGACCTCGAAGGCTACCAAATTGGAGACGACGGAGAGATCCTTGACGATGACGGCGATCTCGTTGGTCGCACCGAACTCTTGCCTGACACAGTTAAAGACCTGATCGAAAAAGCCAAGTCTAGGGCAGAAGAAGGAGTTGCAAACCTTCCGGGTGTTGAAATTCTGGAAGGATACACAGTAGATGCAGCAGGCCAGATTTTGAACGAGGATGGTGATACGATCGGCTATCTCACCGAAGGTAACCCTGCTGACTTACAAGGAAAGACCTTTAACGAACATGGCGAGATCCTTGACGATGAAGGAAATGTGATTGGTCGAGCTCAAGTCCACCCTGACGCCGCAGGTCTTTACGAGACAGCGGAAGATGCCGCAGGAGAGGTTGAAGAAGGCGCTGAGGATGTCGCTGATGAGGCTGGTGAAGGTGCTGAGGACGTTGCTGAAGGTGCTGAGGGCGCCATCGATGAAACTGCCGAGGATGCTGGCGATGCCATTGAAGAAGCTCAAGAAGCAGAGCTGCCAGGTATTGAGGCCCTGGAAGGTCAGGAAATCAACTCTGAAGGCCAAGTCGTTGATGCTGAAGGAAATGTGCTTGGTGAGCTCGCCGAAGGTGATCTAGACCAGGTCAAGGGCATGACTATCAACGACAAGGGCGAAGTGATCGACGAAAGTGGCAACGTCATTGGCAAGGTTCAACTGGCTGAAGGTGCTGAAGAAAAGCTTGCAGATCTCGTCCCGAAGCTCGACCTCCGCATTCTCGACGGTCTCAAAGTCAACAAAAAAGGCAAAATTCTTGACGAGGAAGGCGAGCCAATCGGTGAACTCATTGACGGTGATGCCGCTGAGTGCGCCGGTAAAAAAGTTAATGATAAGGGAGAAGTTCTTAGCAAAGACGGAAAAATTATTGGCAGAGTCAAGGTCGTTCCTGGCGAGGCCGCTGAAGAGGCCACTAAGGCAATGCTTGAGCGTCTTGGCGAAACTGAGGAATCAGGTACTTTTATTCCAGGCCTTGACATCCTTGACGGTCTCAAGGTGAACAAGAAGGGCAAGATCTTGAACGAAGATGGAGAAGAAATTGGCGAGCTTGTTGACGGCGAACTCTCTGAATGTGCAGGGAAGAAGTGCAATGACAAGGGAGAGGTTCTCGACAAAAAAGGAAAAGTCATCGGCCGTGTCAAGACACTACCACAGCAAGTGGAAGAGGGTGCCCAGGAGGCCGAGGAAGAGGCACCTGAGGCTATGGAAGAGGCAATTGAAGGCGTGGAAGAGGCAACTGAGGAGCTGCCACCACTTTCTATCCTCGAAGGACTCAAGGTCAACAAATCAGGCAAGATCATTGACGCCAACGGGAACGTTGTCGGTGAGCTCGTTGAAGGCGACGCCAAGAAACTCTCCAAGGCCGGTGTTACTTGCGACGCTGAAGGTCAGTTCTGGGATAATAAGGGCCATGTGATTGGCCGCGCTAAGACTCTACCTATCGAGGAGGCTGAGGAAGAAGCACCATTTGCCGGTCTCGAGGGGTTGATTGTGAACAAAGATGGCTATGTGCAAGACGAAAACGGCAACATTGTTGGCCAAGTTGTCGAAGGTGACGCAAAAAGGTTGGCTGGTAGAACCGTTGATGAAGATGGCGATATCCTTGACAAGAGAGGCTCAGTTGTGGGCCATGCAGAAAGGATTCAAGATGAGGAAGCGCCTGTCGAAGCTCCAGTAGACCTCTCATTCCTTGAAGGATTGATTGTGAACAAGCAGGGCAATGTTATCGGCAACGAAGGCGTTCCCGTCGCTCGACTTGTGGAGGGTAACCCCAAGGAATGCGCAGGTAAGAAGCTTGACGCTGAAGGTCAACTCTGGAACGACCGTGGCCAGGTAATTGGCCGTGTCGAACTCATCCCGGATAGCGAAAGAGAAAACAAGCCGGAGGGTATCTTTGGTGGCCTGCAAGGCCTACGAGTTGTTCAGGGCGGCTTTATTGCTGATGAAGATGAGAACATTGTCGGTCGTATCGTTGAAGGTGACCCCAAGCGATTGGTGGGCCTTCACGTGGACGAGGATGGAGACATTCTCGACAAGTATGGCAACGTAAAGGGTCATGCCGAACCTATGGAGGATGAGCCAGAGAAAGAGCCTGATGATCTATCGATACTCGAAAATAAGGTACTCAACAAACAAGGATATGTCGTTGACGAAAACGGCATTCCTCTCGGTCGACTCGTCGAAGGCAACGTCAAAGAGCTGGCCGGTCGTCGCTGTGACGATCAAGGCCTGATCCATAGTGATACTGGCAAAGTTGTCGGTCGCTGTGAGCTTATTCCAGAGAACGAACGTGTCGCCCGTCCGGAGGGGCCTTTTGCAGGTTTAGAAGGTCTCCGGGTTATCAAAGACGGATATGTCGCTGATTCCGATGGGAACGTGGTTGGCATCATCACAGAAGGAGATCCAAAGCGTCTTGTCGGAAATGCTGTTGATGAGGACGGCGACATTATCGACAAGTACGGTAATGTTAAGGGACATGCGGAACCATATGAAGAGGAAGAGGAGGCCCCAGTCGATCTGTCAATCCTTGCTGGCTGCACAGTAAATAAGCAGGGTAATGTTGTCGACGCCAATGGAGCAATTGTTGGTCGCGTTGCTGAAGGTGACGTGAAGACCCTCATCGGCAAAAAGGTCGACGGCAAAGGTCAGATCTGGGACAATGCAGGCAATGTCGTTGGTCGTGCCGAACTTGTTCAGGGCGTTGATTCTGGTCCTGAGGGCCCCTTTGCTGGATTTGACGGTGCTACTGTTCAAAAGGACGGCACGGTCACCACTCCAGCAGGTGACATCATTGGCCGTATTATTGAAGGAGATATCAAGAAACTTGTCGGCCACAAGGTAGATGAAGATGGCGATATCACCGATAAGAACGGAAACACGATTGGCAAAGCCGAACGCTGGGAGCCTGAAGAGAAGGAAAGGCGTATCAATCCAATGGCTGGTCGTCGAGTCAATAAGGATGGCGAAGTTCGCGATGAGAATGGTGATCTCATGGGCCGTTTGACAGCCGGCGATCTCGGCCACTGTGCAGGACTTGAGATTGATGACAATGGTTATGTTATTGACAATGACGGCAACAAGGTCGGCGAGGTTACTCTTCTTGAAAATATCGTGGAAGAGGAGCCCGAAGAAGAAATGAGTGAGGAGGAGTTGCAGCGCAAGAAGGATGCAGAGCTTGCTGATAAGATGGCTGCGATCTGCCAGCAGACACTTGAGAGAGTCCAACCCGTCTGCAAGCAAATTACTGAGGTAAGTTTAGGCACGTTTTTCTCTCTCTTTAGTTCTAACATTCCTGTTAGCATATTGAAGCCGCGGATCGAACGCCGAAGGAGGAGCTTGATGAGGAAGAACTTGTCAACAACGTCAAGCCACTCATTGAGGAAGGCTCTCGCATCCTTAACGAGTGCAATGGTTCACTTCGTGGCCTTGATCCTGATGGTCGCATAGCGGCTCAGGCTAAGGGCCGTGCAGCTACCCGCGAAGCAACACCGGAAGAATATCGTCTCGCTGATCTGCTCAAAGAACTCACCACAACCGTTGTGCAGACGATTGACAATGCGAAGAAGAAGCTTCAGAACATGCCTCATGCTAAGAAGAAGCTCAACCCGTTGTGGGCACTACTCACCGAACCACTTTTCCAAATTCTTGCCGCCGTTGGCTTATTGCTGGCCGGTGTTCTTGGCCTCGTCGGTAGACTTCTTAGTTCACTTGGTCTTGGCGGACTTGTTAATGGTCTACTTGGTGGACTGGGTATTGACAAGCTGCTTAGTGGTCTTGGACTAGGAAGTATCACGGAAAGTTTGGGCGGTGGAAAAGATAAGAAGAAGGGTGGTGGTGGAGGCTTGCCAATTATTGGCGGACTTTTAGGCGGAGGAAAGTAAATGAGATTCATCTACAAGTTGGTTTTGGTTTTGACGTGGTGGGTCAATATCTTGATGGTTGTATTCGACGCTGGGTTTTATTGTTAATGAAATGGATGGTCAATGGCGTCGGGGTTTATGTAAAATGTGCTCGTAAAGTGTTTTGTTAGCTGGCAATTTTCTAAGTATATTAGTAAATGTAACGAACTCAATAGATGGGTATGCATGCGACCAGCACTTTTGTGTTAAAGTGATCATTGTGCCGGTTATGCCGGAGCTCGAGAATTCCAACGAAAAAAAAAGTGGATTTTCTTCGCTCTATTGCACCATTTATGTTTCACACTGGAGTGAGCTTGTTGCCTAATTTGGGTAAGAAGCTTTCATCCTCCGTGTTATACTTTGAGGGATGGAAGATTAATGATTTTATCACCACAGCTTTACTACCGCTTCTCCAACGATTGTTTTTCGCACACATGGCCCATTGCACATCGTCATGATTGTTCGTCCTCGGAATCACTATCGTTGAGATCCAGATGGACTTGCACACTGTTCGTCATGCTTCCATCTTTAATCTGAAGTCCAACGTCGGGTGAAATCATAGGATCTGCCTCGCTCCTTACTGAATTCAACGGACTATTCTGTCTTGGCGAGATCAACAAGTCTTGATATGGTTCGTGAGGAAGAATCACGTTATCAGTAACTGTGAAGTCTGTCTCTAGGTCGGGCACCGTTGCATTTTCAGAATTCTTTTTAGTCGTCATGACTGTTGTACTCGATGTCACGTGGGTCTTCAAGCTTTCAATTCTGGCATTTCGACGCCTCTGATGCTCATCCGGTATGCGTCCAAAAATATTTTTATTAATCGTTTCGATGTGACGATTGGTCTCTTCCGAAGTATCGTTACGGCTTGCTGTAGATGTCTCCTTGTCATCTAAAGAACACGCTTGGAATTCAGATAAGAGAATAGAGCCACTGCCAAGTTTGACGATGGCTCTTTCCTCATCTTCTGAAACAACATGCTCACGATGGCAATTTTTACTTTCACATTGAAGACGACCGGATCGATCTTCTGTCTCTATCTGGCCTTGGGCAATTTTGCTGAGCTCGGGGAGGAACAGCCATGGGAATGAAATGAAAGGTATATCCTTGGAGTGTAGTGGCTTTACCGCGTTCTTACTATCATCTCCAATGCCCTCACTGCTTGATTTGAGGGTGTATTGTTGAGCCTGACGAGCGGTGGCAATGTACATTGCGGCAACGAAGGGGTAGAGACAGGCTGGATTTTTACCTCCGGCCTCTTTCTCGCATTCCTCTCTGAACCCAATGCGGATTGCCTCCATCAGGATTCCCAACTCTTCCGCAAATGTGTAATCTTTTTTTCCATTATTGTGCTCCATTACGAAAGCACTCCAAACTTCAAATTCAGTTGCAATATCGTGCTGCGCCATGATCTTTCTCAGTTGACTATCGTATCTGCACTTGATTAACTCTGCCCTTTTGATGAGTTTCTCATCAACGTCAAACGCCTCGATTACTCTTTTGTCGAATACACTGCTGAACTCAGGCGTGAAGTCTTCTCGCACAACAAGGTCGTAGAGCTGACCGAGAATTTTTCTCGATTTGTAATCAGTCCTGGGCTTCTCCATAAAATGTGGCCATTTGATCCCACGTGTGAGATAGGAAGGAATACTAACGGGAACTCCAGACTTCGGATAGTCGACGGCAAGAGAATGCAGCTGTGCTAAATGCTTGCATTTTTCGTTTTTCACGCCTTCATCCAGATAATCAGCAAGTGCTAGATGTCTTGTGGCGATAAAAGCAAGATTATCAGACTTGACGTAGTCGACAAAAAAATCTGTGATATCATCCACCGTAACCTTGTGGCTCAACGAAAGAGGCTTTGCCGGAGTGAAGTCCATGGGCGGATGATTCCACTCTCGTGGAATGAGTTCTGGATCCCAAATAAGGAGATAATCGTCCCCATCTAAGTCACCACCAGAGCACATGCTACTAATGTCCCGATCGCCGCTCTGTGGGAAGACTATCGCATTCTTGATGTGATGTAGCTGCGGCACGTCTACAGCGTGAACCACTCGTATATCCCCTGGATGCAAAGACGGATTTCTAGCAACGATGCATACTCCACGAACAGGCTCATAGATGCCTTTCCGCCTTCTATCTATATAACAGAATATTTCTGGAAGGTCGCAAATATTATGCTCCGCCATATCTCGCTGTGCGCTATTGAAATGTCCGCGTAATGTTGCTGTTTCGTCTACAGTGCCAAACAAAAATGCTCCGTTCTCGATAAAAATCCTTGCTTTTTCTTTTAATATTTTGAGACACCAACTCCGCCATAGTCTAAGCATAGACATCATGAATGGCTCTCTTGCTGCTATGAAACCTGCACGCGCCATAGCAGCAAGTTTCAGTGTGGTTTGATTCATGTCGACGACTCTTTCGAGTTCGTTGATAGCAACATTTTCATCTACCATTGCGGCGTCAAGAACTTGAAGCTGAGATTTCATTTTTCGCACGAATACACTGTCGGATACTCCAAGCGCAGACAAAACGATTATAATCTGGCGATTCAGAGAAGCAGAAACAAATCTAGAGGCGCGAATAATTTCAAGGCCATCATGGACGGCGGCAAATTTGTACTGGCTCGGCCTGAGATGTACTTCGTTCCCCGAGAGCGCTGGATCCACGGCAAGAATTCCTTTGCAACCTCCGAGACGAAACTGAAATACGGAAGGTACATCATCAGTGGAAAGTCCAAATTCACATGCAATCATCTGTGCTAGGAATTTTGAGATTTTCCCAACTCCATCCGTGAAAATGTATCCATTGCGCTTTATGTCTGGAAGCAGAAGTTCATTTCTGTGGTCCAGCTTGTGCGTCCTAATCGTTATTTTCATTGCCAACCCTCGAGTAGTAGAAAAATTTTGCCCGATGCGTGCACAAACTTTTGCAGGTTGATACTGGTCTCTGTCGCTCATTTTGCCCAGCCGGCTACGAATAACATCGCATGAGACTTCATCAGTAGGTGCAAAAAAGAAGGCACCTCGTTCCCGAAATTGAGAGTTTCCAAAAGCAAGAAACCTATATACGCGATCTCCTAGGACTATCCCATGACGAAGGATTTGGGTTATTCTATCATATATTTCGTCATTCATACGCTTGTCATGTGACATGATATGCCCATGATCAAGCTCGTCTGAGAAACGGACTCGAAGGAAGCGATTAGAGTATACTGACCATTCCCTGGTAATTCGATTTGATACTTCGACTGACGGGGTTCTGAAATAAATCATTGACGGCGTGACAACCGCGGATCTAGCAACTGTACAATGCCGTGGAAGGTTTCTCGTCGCTGCAATCGCAGTGAAATGCACTGGGAGCTGGAAAATTTCCATAGGATTGTAAAATCGTCGCTTTAATTCGGCGACCCGCTCCAAAGCACCGACAGCCTTGTGTTGCTCATTCCTGTCTAGTGCATGAAGCTTAGCTACGAAGTCTTCCGTGAAGTTCGTTTCATGCAGCCATCCGTGGGACAAGCAAACTTCAAGTTGATAGCGTGTTTCAAAACTTAGATTGAAATAACGCCTTGTCATCGAAGCTTGAAGCTCCGATAAGTACCCTACGTTATCTTGAGCATTTTTACTGCCGTTGTGGTCCACCAGATCCAATATTGTGGATGTGTGCCTTGGGAGAATGTCGAAATGTTTTTGAATGACTTGAACGTTGAAACTTGAGAGGGCTTGTTTGATTCGTGCCAAAGGACAGTGTGCATTTTCGAACGATTTAAAATTTAGTCGATAAACTCTCCACCGCCCTTGTCAAGTCAGTCCTACATTCGCAAGTGTGCAGAAGTGGCACAACTTACCGACATCAACGATTGCCTCATCGTTACGAATACCAGCAGGGTGCAGACGAGTGACAGTCTCAGGAAGTATAACACCAGTCTGTCGAATCATAGCGTCCCATTCACTCCAGAGCCGGGAATCGTTCTGATGCGTGACGTTGATGTCTGTACTTCTTCGATATAGCCTTGGGGGAAAGTCAACTGTAATGGTCATTACTTCGTGAGAGCCTACGGGTTCGAAGTATACAGCCAAGATTCTATCCAGCCGTAGCTGGAGGCGGAAGTTGCCCAGATCATGACGTCCACTTTTGCCTGGCGCAGAGATACAGAAGTCCACGCTAATTGTCTTCTTGTTCAAGTTCATGAGAAAGTACACATTTTGCTCCATCGATGTGAACATAGACATAATCTGGTTCTCGGAGACCATGTAACCAATTTCGATGCTTTGCGCATCATGTTGCTTTTTCTCATTAGATTCGATCTTTGCTTTCAGGAAAATCTCTCACCAAAAGATCAGGTATCCGAACGCCTTTGTTGAAGGGGTCTTGAATCGTCGCTATATTGCTATTCTGTAAGTTAAGCGTTGCGACAATATTTCCTAAAGCTCCATCTAGCTCCCAGAAGGCAATGTCGGGAGTAGGTCTAGCTGAAGTAAGCCAGGGCTGTATCTCACGTTTGTGTCAATTTTAACCCACCGAAAAGTGACATATGCTGTCTTTTCCACATGTCTTTCCTTATCAAGAATTTGAATCTTGATCACATTGCCAAAGCCATCTAAAAGCCGGTAGATGTCCCACGTTGTGAATTTGGCAGGTACTTGTACTAGCTTGACCTCGATCTGAGGGAGATGCTTCCAGCTCATGGAGCTCGCCATACTGAATCTTGTATCGTAGCGAGTTTTGTGATGATAATTTTGCATCTCTCTGATTGGCAAGCCTCGTGGTTCAAATTTAGATCCTCTGACCGTATGGTTAAAGCTGGTGGATGCTTGGTGTGATCGAGAGCCTTTAGTTGCCGATGATTTTGAAGTACTGGAAAGACACGGCGATGCCAGGCTTTGGTCAGTACCATTAAATTTCATCTTCTTGAATGCGATTGTGCCTAGGTGGTAGGGTGTAGAGAACGAAATGTCGGGAGAGAAACCAAATTATGGTGAGCAGGGGAAATGACTACTGAGCCAAGATAGTAGCTATTGTTGCATGATCAGCTTCAGAGGATGGGGAAACTTATCGCTGTTGTCAAGTCGAATAAAGAAGAAGAAGTCAAAAGGTGCGAGATATAACTTACGGCGGTAAGATCTGACAATGGCGTGCGCGGCTGTTTGCTGAAGCCGATGTAACTTGCCGCTTGCAACCGAAGAGGGCAAGCACCTTCATCGCAAACGCAGACTCTTGTGCGACGTGAGCCAGAAAAGCATGTTATCTGAAAATAATCACTAGAGAAAAACTTTTGTCACAAAAAAGGCGTATCGAATTCTAACTGGCTTATGCCTGACAGGGCGCTATTCGCCATGGCCGGCTTGAACCTTATCTGAGTTTCAGAAGCTATCGTTCACTGGGTTTGTAAATGATGTCAAAAGAAGCGACCACCAAATGAACTGAATATTCAAAACGAAAAGGATTGATGTAGTAACGAGACGCTGATACTTCTAGGCTGACCATGCTAGCTTAACCACGGCCAGGCGTGGGCAATCTCTGCTTTCGAGATCATCAAGATTTTCTTTCCACAGTCCCATGTTCGCACTCGTCATCGCAAATACCTGGTGTCGTACGTGTAAAAGGTGTGATAGTGAAAATGTCGCTTCCTATGTCAGCGTCGCCAAATTCGACTGTGCCGTGTACGTCCATATCAGCGTGGCTGCTTTCAGATTTGAGCTGCTAATTCGTCGCAGACTTTTCCACGGGCCACAGATTTCTTCGATCCGCTGAGACTTCTGCGAGTGGAATACGCCGTGGTCGTTTCTTGACACACTTCGGTGTCTCAGCGCCACTGTGACGCGGCTGCCAGCTGACCGGCACTCGAAACTGCTTGTGAGGCTTTGCTCGCTTTGGCCTCGAGTCGTTCTCGGCTGAACCGAATTCGAACAGTGTATCGGACGGCTGAATTTCATCTTCCTCAGTGTATTAGAAGCTTTTATGTGCATATTTGGATCTGGCCTTCTGACCAGCCGCTTCTGCAATCGCTCGTCTGATCGCATTCAATTCAGCTATTTCGTCCTCCTGTTCCGCGATCGTCTTCTCCATTTGAGCGACTCGCTTCTGCTGCCTGCGTAGATCTGATTTTGCTTGTTCAATTTGAACCTGAAGATTTTTCTTCATGGCCTTTTCAATTTCCAAGCATGAGGCTAAGTGACAATCATCCTCCTTCAGCTTGTGGTTTTCGGCCTCAAATCCCTCCTGCATTTTGCCCAGCTCTTCAGCAAGATCCAACGCATCTTGCTGGAATCTGCTTTTTAAGCTCTCAATTGCAGTTGCGTGGTCCAAACATGACTGTTCTGCGCGTTTTTGGGCTTCATCGAGGTCCTGCTGAACTCGAACCAATGAAGTCATTGCTTCTTCCCGTAAACGCGTGAGGATGAGAATATCGTTCCTCATGGACTCATCGGAACCCCGCAGATCCTGCAGTTCTTGGGATTTATCCTTCATTTCCATTCTCAGCTTCTCATGCTCCTCCATTATCCGAGTCAGCCTGATCTCAGTTTCTTGTAACTTGGTTTCAATCAAAGAATTAATTCGCTGCATTTTCTCGGCAAGAGAGGTTGCTTCATCGAGCATGCTGGACATTACACTTAGACAGATGCGAAGGTCGAGTTCCTTCTTTCTGCTCTTGGCGTATAAGTTCTGAATCTGTTGCTCGGCGGTATCTTTAGCGTTTTTGAGATCGATCTCAAGGTTATGCGCTCGCTCAACTAATCTCTCATTTTCTTGCTGCAGTGCTTCTTGTACATGTGTTGTCTCAGCGTCTTTGGACTGTAACCGAAAGGTTAGGTCACTAATTCTCTGCTTCAGCTCGTCGTTACGACCCTCCAAGTCGGTTAATTTGTATTGAAGGGCTTGTACTTGTGTACTCGTCTCACGAAATGGCTTTTCTGCAGTTTCGCAACGCTTTTCAAGATCATCGCATATCGTCCCAGCCAGTTTGATAGGGGTTTGCTCTTGCCAGACCCGTTGCAAATTCGAAAAATATCGAATTTTGTCTTTCATGAAGCTTGTTGTGTCTGAGGGACTAAGCTCCTCTGATCTGGTAATGATACTCGCCTTGGTGCTTGAGAAGGATCACCTTTACACTTGAAACCTGCTTTACCCTTTACGCTACGCAAAACTCCAAGCATCTGCAAAGATCTCATGGTTCTGGCCTCAATCTGGCTAGTTTCGGGTGCTCTAGCAGCTGAAAGTAACCACAGCGCGGCGAGTTCCTCTGCTAGCGAATGTCTTGCTGCAAGAAGTGTTATTTGACAGTCCCGAGAATCGTTACATGCAGCCAGGTCCGATCCAGCGGTAGTGGCGGCGAGGATGATTGGCGCACAAATACCATCTATTTCAACATGAAAGCTACTAGCATAGGTCGAATCGCTGATAGGTATCTTCGATAGCAGGCTTAGCATATGCAAATAGTTCGTAATCTCTCGACAACCATAAGTGGACGCTAGAGCCGCATTTCTCAAGAACTTGACTATTTCGTGGTCACTCTTTGGCGACAAAAAAAACATCAGAGAGTGATGACTGATAAGCCTAATGATCAAACGCTTACCACGCAAAAAGACAGTACTGCCTCCATAGCATGCTTAAAGACGGTGCTATCTGCGCTCAAAAATTCGTGACTATCCAGTAAATTCTCTATCTGGGGCAGGAGCTTCGTCGGTACGTTCTGCGATCGTAATATCTTGGAAATCAATGAAATTAACTAGCATTCATTAGACGGCCTAGAGAAGTTTGAAATGGCACGACGTACTTTCAAACGAATGTCAATATGAAGACTTGTATCTTGAGATCGTGACTTCAAGCGTAAAATTGATGCCTGACCTTCTATAGTCCGCATCCATGCGTCCAGCACCGAAGAGGGCACATGCTCAACAATGCTCAATGCAATGGAAAGGCTCCTAAGCACATTTGCCTTGACAACCATGTGCGCCGTCTTAGTGACCCAAGCGGCCTGAAGCACAGCCAGATTAACAGATTTCGATGCTTTGTTGCCTTTAAAGAATTCTGCTGCTTCTGAATCAGCGCCATTGTCCGATTTCAGCGAACTTGTGCCTAGAATTTTGAGTATTCCGAGGCAGAGCAGGCTTAGTGACTGATCTTGGATTGTCTTTGAGCCTTTGACGATTTGAATAAGACCATCTTCAAATGTCATCCACTCATTATATGGTAAAATCTCGGCTAGTTTTTGGCAAGCCCCGGTAAGTAAGTCATATGCGGCTACCAGTGTCTTTGCATTCGGATCCTGAATGGCACGGGATACAATTTCGATGAAGAAGCTTTCGACAGATGCTGGAAGTGCAACACTATAGGGAAGCTGTTGGCTTAATATTTGCAGGCAAAGAGCGGTATACTAGTGCCCATTAATAATACGAGGAGATACACTCAAAATAACGGTAACACTTGCCTGTTCATTCCCACTTGCGGATTTCGCAAGCAACGCATCAAGCAACTCCGGACATTCCTGAAGTAGTTGGTCGCGGAAGTATTCGCACCGACCTTAAAATCGGTTAGGATATCGACCAATAATGCTGAGATGGTTACGCACAAAGTTCTCTCAGCAGATCAGCGTCGATCGGTCGAACTGCAGTAACGGCTAGAATACACGATACTAGGCGTTTGATCTTACAAGGATTTGCTACAACAAATCTCTCAAAAGCTTCACCATCTTGGTCTAGCAGAAGAATGCCATGGAGAGCCTAAATGAACAATTAGTGAACGAAAATTCACCTGCAGCTTGAAGACTCATACCATAAGAGATACAGGATAAGGTGATGAAATTATTCGCCAAACTTCTGCCGACAGCATCTTATTAACTTCTTTGCCTTCCCTTGACATGGCTTGTAGTTCCATTTTGTATTGAAAAGTCGGTAATGATCAGTGTACATCCCTCGTGTAGTTATACGCCCAGTTGCCCATGACAACGTGTCGCATCGACCACAAAGTTAGCACTTGCGTCGAGTTGCGTCAGCAAACCACGTCTCTCCATCGAGAACAGCATCTTATGCGCCTTCTTATGGATATCCATCTGCAGCAGTGTAATGCTCACAGGCACGAAGGCAGTCATGAAAGTCTTTGAGAACTCTTGCGCCACCCTACTTCACAAGCCTTGCTGCACCTGCATTTTAGTTCACGTGGTGCGATCACATCAACCACTGTAAAGTTCCCCGATTCTATCGCTTGACCAAGTTAGAAACACAAAGACTAGAAGGTAAAGAATATGGCCATGGAGCTATTTACATTTCAAGCCATCCGTTGATAGCTGGCGACACTAGGCGGCATACAAAGCCCACCCTCTACTGTATATACAGCCCTGATCATTGAAGTCCTTTTCAGTTAACCGAAATCCTTCCTGGACTTTTTCGCGACGAATGACCGGAAACACCCTCAGCAAGATCCGCCCTCGGGGCGTCTTATCTTTGCCATCTTCACACTCTTGACTGCCATACGGTAGCCAACTTCCTTCTTCCCCTTCTGCATTCTCACCCTCGTCAACAGGTGGTAGGATTGCTTCAATCATTTCCCTCTCTAGCCTAGCATATCTCCATGTCTCAACGGCTAACTTTACAATTTTGCGAACACCTGCTCGCACCGCTGTCACCGTAGTCTCTGTGTCGATGGCGAAAGGCAGAATCGCCGCGATAATATCGTCTATCACCCTGCCGGCCTCCTTATTCATTTGCAGTTTAGCATGTGTCGTGGTATAAGCCGCGAGTAGCGTGTGCTGTCGCCATGTTGACTCGTTCCGCGAGCTTTTCGTGCGGAGCTTACCACTGATAATGTCCAGCAATTGTTCTGTCTCTTCCTGACGTCGACCTAGTCCAAAAAGGAAGGGAGTGAAAACGCGCTCCACTAGTTTTGATGAGATAATATGCGCAATGAAAGCAGAGCGTGCCTGGCGGCTCTCATCTGTGTCCTCGATAAGTGAGGGCAAATGTGCGGGGACAGTAGAAAGAAGATCCGGTGACAAGTCTCGGGGAGGGCGATCGAAGTGGGAGGAAGAAAGCCCGAAAATAAGATCCAATAATTGCCTGAATGCTTCGATACTACATACACAACAGATCAGCCTCACAACTCTCTAATGCAAAACTCCACATGCAAACTCATAAAACTGGGAAGGGAAGGAAGAGGAGAGGATGACGGACATATGAAAGAAGAACGCAAGAAAAGCAACTACATACAAACCGCCACTTCTAGCCTCATCATTCAACAAATCGCACTTACTAATGCAAATCACCCTTCGACTTCACGTCAGTCTCCTCTTTGAACTGGTCAACGATCTTCTCGAGCCTACCCTTTTCTTCCTCGATACCCTGCGCGACTCCTTTGAGTTCCTCAATCATTTTCTCAAATTTTGCTTTGTCTTCTTCCCACGCTTTTTTAAGGTTAGCGATCTCCTCGATAAGGTTCTGGTTCTCGGTGGTCATCTTGAGATTGAGACTTTCCTGAAGGCCAACAAAAGCTATAGTCTGTTCATTCAGGTCGTCCTTGTGCGCCTTCTTCAAGGCAGCAATGGTCTCCTCATGAGCGGTTATCAAGGCTTGTTTCTCTGCCTCGAATTCACTCGTAAGCTTGGCTGTCTTTTCCGCCCATCCGTCAATATTTGCAGCTTTCTCGGCGGCAAGTTCGGCCTTGACTGATTCAAGCTCCTTCAACGCATTGTCCGCTAGTTCTTGACTAGCAGCAGCTTTCGCCTCAAGTTCTGCTTTGATTTTCTCTGCCTCCGCTTCAATCTCAGCCTTTAAAGCATTTGTTTGGCTCTCAAACTCGGCTTTTGCAGCATTTGCCTTGCTTTCAATCTCGTCTTTCTGCGTGGTTAGTTCCGCAATCCGAATGCGCGCTGCGTCCAGTTGCTTCTCTGTCTGTTTCAAACTTAGTGTGATCCGAAATTATCGCCGAAGGATTCACGTACATCATTCTTTGAAGCTTCAAACTCCGCAACTATCTTATCCCTTTCATCTGCCGCAGCCTTTGCTATCACCATTCTCTCACGAACCAGTGCAGCCTTCTGCTCCGTAAGTTCTTTGTTAATGGCAGCTTCTTCCTGTCTTTTTGTCTCGGAGATATGCAGTCTTTCCTCGAGGTCTTTCAGATTCTCTTCAAGATTTCCAATGTGGAGTCGAAGTTTGTTATATTCTTTCGAATGCTTCTTCTCCGCATCGTGAAACTGGTTCATCAACCGATCGATATGTTCTTCCTTTCGCTTGATGATTTCGAGAGTCTCAGCTTCCTTCTTACGAACAAGAGCCTCTCGCAGATTGAGTTCACCGTGAGTCTCCTTATATCTCCGTAGCAGGAGCTCAAGGTCGGGGATAGCTAGATGTAACCGTCCAAGCAAGTCTGAAGGATCATCTTCGATGGCAGACGTGCTGTCTGGCACAAGTTGGGGTGGAGTTGATAAGCCTGCAAGCTCACCTGAGCCACTTCCTCTTGATGCCATTGAGTCATGGCGTTCTAACTTGCGAGGATGTGGGTACGGGTAATGATATGAAGCATACGGAGGTTGATATGGCGATCCTTCCCCAGGTGGCGGTCCATAACCGTATGGCATCGGATATGCCATCCGCCCACGGGGGTAGAACCCTGGATAAGGATAATGTGGGAGGTAATGATAGTCTGAATGAGCCGGAGGAGGGCTGTTAGATGTTGATTTTGGAGCCGTCTCGACTGGCTTTTCAGCAGTAGCCAGATCGGCTACTGGATGTGGTAGCTTCTCCTTGGGGACTTCAGGTTTCTCCTCAGGAGCTTCAGGTTTCTCCTCAGGAGCTTCAGGTTTCTCCTCAG